GCATTCACCTTCCAAAAGGGGGCTGGGTCTACCTGTGCCCCTGAGAGAGACAATGGCAGCCAGGGCTGGTGACCGCATAGGACGCAGTGGACATTCCATGTGTACACGGTCAAGGAAGACAGATTAATCTAGAACCGTTGTTCTCTAAGTATGGTCCCTGGGTCAACAGCAGAGCCTTACCTGGAAAGAGGAGTTTAGACATATAGAGTCTCCACCCCACCCCAGACATACTGAATCAGGAGTTCAGTCTAGCCCCTGGCAGAGGGCAAGCTCTCTGTAAATGTTCATCAGGAGATCCTTGCCTGGATACAGCCATACTGACAGATTCCCCTGCTTGTGCCCTTCCTCCTCCAGCCAAATGATCTTGTTAAAAGACAGATCAGATCACTCTTCTACTCAAAACCTTGCAGTTATTCCCCATTTAACTCAGAGTAAAGGCTGAAGGTTTTACAGCCACCCAAGAGGCTCTGCAAGATCTTCCCATCAACCCCTTAGCTCCCCTCCTGCTGCTTCCTCCCTAAACTGGGGCAAGGTTACCTTACCCTAAAACCTCTGTTCTAGTTCTTTCCTCTGCCTGGAGTGCTCTTGCCCCAGAGTCTGAACTAACTCCTTCAATCCTTCAAGTCCTTGCTCAAGCCCTACTTCGTCAACATGACCAGCACCGTAAGCAGCAGTGACTTTTCAATATACATTATTTACTAATTTACTCTATTATTGTGTCTTTTCTGAGTCCTGGGCTTGAACCCAAAGCCCCACCAGGGAGACATTATTGTTCTTTTCTCTGATATATTCCAAGAATCAGAACATAACTGGTGCATAGTAGATGCTCAACAAATTTTTGTTGTGTAGCTATTATTACTCTCCAAATGAGAGATACCATTATCATTCCTAATGGTCCAGGGGAAAAATGCTTCTGGGCTTTTAGCAGAGGAGTCCAGGGAGATATCTTCACCTGATAGATCTGGGGAGCCAAGGGCAGCCTCTCACTGCACCCACTTCCCCTCCCTTCTCCAACCTCCCCAACACACCTTGCGAGCAGTCCTGCTTCTAAGTGCTGGGAGAACAAGAGGAGGACACCCTGTACGAAGCAACACCCCTATACTTTCTCAGACCAACAGCTACCGTTCCAGAATCTGCTTCACCCCAATTCCTCCACAACCCAGACAGACAGAAGTCTGTCTTTCTATGCACCCAGGTCTGAAAGGGGAAGGGTAGTTCCCAGCCTCAGCTTCAGCTTGTTTTTTTTTTTACCACTAGAGAGCGCAGTGAACCCACCCTTTCTCCCTAACGCCAGATGAACTGGACATTAGGAGATCTGTGCTTCTCTCAGGAAAATTAACCTCAAGACAGTTTCATTCATTGTCTTCCTTTTCCAAGGATTTCCTGTCCTCTGTCTTAGGCCTCAGGATTTCCCTCCCGCAGTCACAGAGTCCACCCCTGGTTGTAGAAGATGCTGATCTGGGGGCAGGAGGCTCACACTATTTCTTATATGGAATCTCATAGGAGAGGATGACGGAGTGGAGGGGCTTGCTCCTGTGCTCCTCCGTCCTCTTGTTTGACCAAGCAAGAGGCTTTTACAGCCTCTTGAAGGTTTTACAGCCACCCAAGAGGCTCTGCAAGATCTTCCCACCAACCCCATTAGCTCCCCTCCTGCTGCTTCCTGCCTAAACTGGGGCAAGGTCACCTTACCCTAAAACCTCTGTTCTAGTTCTTTCCGTCCTCTTGTTTGACCAAGCAAGAGGCTGGTGACTTGTCGAGAGAGGCATAGACAGAAGACAGAATCCGGGCGGGAACTCAAGTATCCTGATTCCTCATCCTATTTTTATAATATTCCAAATTTAAATGTGTGTGTGTGTGCACGTGGGTGCACACACGCATTGCTAACATGTCCTTTGGGCCAGGCACTAGTCTAGACGCAGACCTCACAATAACCATTTAATCATTCAACACACATTTGCCCTACCTCGTCCATGTGCCTGGTGCTATCTGAGGAGGGACTGTGGTTACGCACGAAACAAATCAGGTTCCTGTTTTCATGGCACCTGCGGTTAGTGTGTGTGTGTGAGCATGGAGACTGTCATCCCAGAGCTTTCCCCGGGGAAAATCACTCTGAGAACAGTCAATGGAATAGAGATTTCATTACAGGGATCAAGAGAGCTCTAAACACATTATACTGAAAACATTCTAGACTTGATAGCAACTTGTCTTAATGATCTCTCGTGCAGCAATTTGAGAGAGACCTCCGACGCTTTGCCACGCACGAGCGGAAGATGATGCTGGACAACCACGCTCTGTATGACAAGACCAAGGTAGAGCTGTCCCCTGAGGTGGGCTGCCCGGTCCTCATCCCCAAGGGTGACTGCAAGCATTTCTTCCAGACTAATTTTTAGTGTCCTGGCTTAGTCTCCTTTGCTGAGTGTCCTGTTCCCTCATATCACACATGAGGGCAGCTGGAAAGGTACTGAGCGGGCCCAGAGTACACCCCAGGGGCTTCAGGCTCGTGGACTATGAGCCAGTGGACCCAGGACCATTCCAGCAGTGATCCTTCGTTGAGCTGGGTCTATCTATGGTGTTTGTAAAGAGTAACTCCAAAGTAAACCGAGGATTCTCACAACTTGCCCTCAAAAAAAAAAAAAAAAAGAAAAAGAAATCACTGACGCCACTCACTACCCTCAAATACAGTGGTGGAGGTGTTCTATGTGACCACTTAGAGGGTACTGAAGAAGGAAAGCAACAGGGCTGCGCTGGGATCTAGCTGGGCCTGCAGTCAGCCAGGCCCGCGCAAGCTACCGGGCTCACGGGCGCGCTAAACTCACAGAGTTCAGGACCCAAATCCACGCCTCAGCAAAGTGAAAAATGACTGTGTGAATAGTAGACAGTTAGATATTCAACTGTTAAATCCACAAATGCCAAAGTGGTCTAGGATGCTAACCTAAGCTCTGGGGGGAAGGAGAAAGAGCAGGGAATGATGTTTGGGTGAGAATTCATTCTGATCAGTTTCACAAGTAATATTTTCACTAAGCCAGACCAGAGAAGCCTACAGAAATATCTGATTGCACCTATTTCTTGTTCTGCTTTCAGAGGCTATTTCTCAAAGCAGAAAGTGAAGAAGAAATTTTTGCGCACCTGGGATTGGAGTACATTGATCCATGGGAAAGAAATGCCTAGATAAAGTTGTCAACCCTTTTTTCAGGTTAAGTAAAAGACGCTTCATAGTATAGTGAAAGATGCTAAGTAAAGTTTGGGGTTCTTTAAGTCTTATGACTATGACGATTGGTCTGGAAATAGCTTTGGGAACATGAGAAGGCCCCACCTGGTGATGGCTTAGGCGCTAATGGCCACTGTACTACGTTGCTTAGAATTCACAGCATATTTTTCCATAGAAACAGTATAATTGGTGACTTGTTTGCCAAAAAGCTCATCAAAGCCCACTTGACTCCCAGTGCAGCAGAAATACTGTGTGTTGCCAATAAAAATGGGAGGAAATGAGACAGTGGAGTCTTCTTTTTCTTCGCTCAAAAATTATAGAACACTCTTTAAAATGCAACAAAGTGAAAGAATAAAGCTTTTTAGATTTATCTTGAGTGGAGAAATAGGTTTATGAAGATCAGAGATTCTCAAGTGGATGCTGGGTCTTTTCTGGAGCTGATGGGGGTGCTGATTCAACAGCAGGAAGGGTCAAGCCCCACTCTCCTCCTACAAATTAAGGTAAAGAAAAGGACGGAAAGAAAAGGATGGAAAGAGAGTGTAGACTCTTCCCTAATTTGAGACCGAGAGACAGCCTATTTTACGCCTTTGAGTCTATAGGGAAAGCACTTACTTCTATGAAAGCTATTCATTGAGTGGATAGTAAAATCCACATTCATTTGGGTGGAGAGGCATTTTCCAGAAAACCAGGTACCTTTAGCATCTTTTATGTTCCCATTATCAGGCTCAGAAAATCACCTGACTGTAGAGGACTATGCTAATATTAGGCTGTTAAATTAATTTACACATCAATCACTAAGTCTCTCCAGGAGTTTGGCAACATAAAGATTGGATGGAATAAGAGATATTTCAGAAGATGTCCTTCACTGATTTAAAAAAAAACAGAACACTTCAATTAGTTTTACAACCCTGCAGTCATAAATGCCACAAGGAAAGTTATATAAAACTGCTGTTTGGGCCTCCCCGGTGGCGCAGCGGTTGAGCGCTGGGTTGCAAAGCTGCCCGCAGCCTCTGCGGCACCGGTTCGATCCCCAGCTGCTCCCCGGCCACCGGAGGAGGGTCCCACATGGCGCGCAGATCTCTCCTGCCGCCCGCTGCTCCCCTCAGCAGTGTACTTCAGTCCTGCTGCCTGCTCCGCTCCCCGCTCTGGCTCTGGTGAATTCTCTCACCCTCCCGCGCTTCTGACTGTACCCAGTGCATGTATAAACAAAACAAACAAACAAACAAATAAATAAATAAAACATGCCTCTATAAAAAAAACCAAAAAAACAAAAAAACAAGCAAAAAAAACCCCTGCTGTTTATTGGGAAGATGTAAGGGAAATAAGTTTCTCACCTGCAAAGCCCAGAGCCCAGGGGACCTTAGAGGGCACAAAGGCTGTGCTGGTGAGAGTGGTGAGCGGAGGTGGAAGGAGAGGACTCACTTTGCAGGATTTGGGAGAATCAAAGTTAGGATATTTGAAGTGGATGAGTGTAATTTTAGAGACAAGCAAACCCAAACACCAAGTGATTCATGAAGAAATGAGATCAAAACACTTATGCAACCAGCCCTAGGTCACCCCAAAGCCAGCACTGGCTCTGGGAGGAGGCTGGAGCTTCTGACCTCTGGTCTATGCATTTTCCTCACTAGCAGCTTGGCCTCCAGGAGGGACTGAACAATTCCTCCATCATCCCCAGCAAGAGAGTGCCAGCCGAGGAGTATCCCCGGGATAACCTTGATTCCAATGGAGGGTCAGCGTCATATAGTCTAATACAGGAAAAGAAAAACCACAGACATGTTGTAGGCCCATAAGAATGACCATTTTACTTTTCACTATATTCCAAAATAAGTTCTAGTACCTCATTCCAAGCAATAGATTGTAAGTGGAATTAAAACAAATATCCCAAAATACAAGTCACATCTTGCTTTAAAGATTATAAGGCTTATTCACATGCATATATCAGTCCTGAGGGCAGGAGGATGAGAACTTTTATCTCTGTTTTGTAAGTATAGCGCTGAGGCTTCCAGTGGTCCACAATCTACCCCAGGGCTCACACCTTGTGTGCCAAGGCCTAGGTCACAGTCAAGTTCATAGCAAATTCAAGGGCCCTCTTACCATGTAAGAGAAGTACAAGCACCGGATCACTGGGCATGTGGGCTTAGAAATGGCCACATGGGTTTGTCAAGGTGACTGGACTGAAGGGACTTAACACAAAACTGATTTTCACAAGTTGGATTTGAAAAGCATGTGTTGGCATGTGGCAATGTGGAGAAGAGCGTGTTTTAGAACAGTGGCAGGTCCTGTGTGAGAACAGTGGTGCATGGAGTGGTGGATGGGCCACAGGTGCCCTGAATCCAGGTTCTCCCACCAGGAGGCTTGTCCTGCTCGTGGCAATGGCTCTCTGTAGGCACCTGGACTCCTGGAAGCTGCCTTGCATAAGTAATAGTCAAGACTGAAGCCTGAGCTGGCTGATTTGACCACAGGCTTCCCTCAGATGTCAGGCACGTGACGGCTGGGCCTGACCTTTTGTCCTTTGCTCATCCACTCACGGTTTTCTTAATCTTTTCTTGACAACCAGTTTTTCCCCATATAGGGCGGGGACTTGGTTCTTTCTCACCATTCCCACAAAATGGAAAGCCTTCATTTCTACTAATTTTATAAAATAAACTTTGCCTTCCCTTTACCCTATTTATCTTCTACACACACACAAACACACACACATGCACAGCCCTTTGCAGAATTGCCTTCCTTAAACACTCTGATCGTAGAGTATTTAAATGTGCATAGGGCGTGATCCAGCCGTGTGCCGCCTCGTGGTGAGAGAATGTGTGGCCCCATGTGATTTCTATCCTGAGAAGTTCAGAAATAAGGAACTGCTTCCCCTCATACATCTCCCTTAAGTTTCATTTATAGTTTCAAAAATAAATAAAAAATTAAATGCAATGATCAAGCAAGGCAAAAAAGAAAAACAGACCACCTTTCTTTACATGGAAAACCCAAACTAGGGAGGAAGAAAAGAAAAAAAAGTTTCATTTATATCCCAACTTGCACCAGGCTGACTTGGCCAACGTCCCATGGGTGCCAAGTATGATGTTTTTTGTTGTTATTGTTGTTTGTCTTTTGAGAAAAGATGAGACAGCAAGACACTATGACATCAAATCCTTTGCCCAAATTACCAATAAAATTAAAATTTCTCTGGGACCAGCAACAGCATCCAAGGGCTCCTCTGGATGGAGAGTCACCTCATGAGAGCTTAGAATTAGGACAAACCTTGAGACAGATCAACCTCTCGTTGTCCAGGTCTGTCAATGAAATTTGGATTGGTTAAAAAATGACTTGGCATCTCTCCTCATAAATCTCTGGAGTTCAGCTGTGTTCCAGATCCAGATCCACTCCTAGCTGGGGCTGCATCACTCCAGGCTCAGTCTGGGCATCAGCCACCACAGTCCCCTCCTTCTCTCCATTTCTCGGGTAGGACGGTAAGTGTCTCGCATAGGTTCCTCACTTCCTGACACAGTTTTCACATAGATGTGGGTTTCTTCTGCTCCCATCATATTCTCATGTGTGGGGGACCTGCTAGGGTTCTTGAGAAAACAAACATATCTTGACAAAATACAGGAAAAACTTCTGCCTCGACCAAGTTAGAATAAAAGCAATCAGATATACCCTCCCACCTGAAGCAACCATAGAGCAAACAAAACATTTGAAACAATAGTCTTCACGACAGTGAACATCAGGTAGGGAAGGACATGCAAAACAAATGTGGAGAGTCTTACAATTGTCTTGAACTTACAATGGGGAGGGTTTTCAGGCCACTCGACATTCTTTTGTTTAATGTTAGCCTAGTATCTTTTTAAAAATTCTTTTAGTTTCTATCTCTTAGTGCCTTAATGTTTTTTTTTTTATAGATTTATAGAAGAACCGGGGTATAGGCCAGATGTGCGGGAGGGTGAGAGGATTCACCAGAGACAGAGCAGGGAACAAAACAGACAGACCAACTGAAATGCACTGCTGAGGGGAGCAGCAGGAGAGACAGGAGGGGTCTGCCATGCCATGTGGGTATCTCCATGGCCGGCCGGGATCGAACCCATGCTGCAGAGGCCACGGACAGCCTCATAGCACTGCGCTCAACCACCTGCGCCACCAGGGAGGCCCTTAGTGCCTTAATATTTAAAGTACGTTTTTGTAGGCTGTATATAATTGGATCTTGCTTTACTATACAATCTGAATATCTGTCTTTTAGTTGATGTGTTAGACTATTTATATTTAATGTGATCATTGATTTTATTGAGTTTAAATTAACCATCTTGCTATTTGTTTTCTATTTGTTCATTGTTGTTTTAAATCTTTTTCTACTTCTTCTATTTAGATTTTAGAAGCACCTTATTAAGCCCCATGAAAAAAAAATCTTGGGATTTATATTGGAATTACATTTATTATGCATATCAATTTAATTATGTGACAACTTTATGCTATTGAACTCTGTATGCAGTACTGTGGTATATAACTTCCATTATTTAGGGCTTATTGAATATCTTTTATGGAAGTATTACTATTGCCCATAAAGTGATTACATGTTTTGTTAGATTTATTCTTTAGGTTTCTGTATATATTTTTTTCAGGGTATATGAGTTTCTCCATTGTTATGTTTCTACAGGTTTCCCCTGCTATTTGAAAGTAGACATTCCTATCTAGCATGATTTGATAGGTTATTTTTTGGGCCTGGAAACAACAAAAACTATATACACTTAAAATTTTTTTTAATTATTTCTTCAAATGATTTGCTATTGATTTTTAGAAATACAAAATTACTTTTGTATATTGATTTTCTATCCAGTAAATTTGCTTAACTTTCTTATTAATTTAATAATTTATGTGAAGGGAATCTGACTTTCCTTTTTCAGTGAGCAATCATATCATCTGCAGATAAGGGAACTTTCATTTCTACTTTTCCCGTTTTCTACTTTCTACTTCTTTTTCTTTGTTTTCAGCTTGACTGAGGCAAAATTGACAACATTGTAAGATATTTAAAGTATGCAGTGTGAATTAATACAAAGTAAAAATCAAAATCAACAAGCAACTACAAACCAGAGACACACTCCGTTGGGTAGGGAGGAGCGGGGAGAGGAAGGACTAGGGTCAAAATAAGGGGGGGTGCAATTGTATGGGGAATATAACCAAAATGATAATGCATACATTGTGCAAAAATAAAAAATGATATAAGAATTATATAAAATAAAATATTAATTAAAAAAATTAAGTATACAGTGTGATGTTTGAGATGTCCATTGTGAAAGATTCTCCCTTCCTCCCAAGCTGTGAGTTAACTTCTACTTTTTTTCTCTTATCCTACTACCAACTAAAATACAATATTGAATAGAAGTAGTGATGGTGGTCATCCTTATTTTGTTTCTGAACTTCAAGAGAATTCATTAGCATTTTACCCATAGGCATGATGTTTGCTCTAATTTTTTAAAAAAGATTTTCTTGATGTCAAGGAAGTTTCTTTCCAGTTTTTAGTTTGCCAAGGGTTCACATCACAAATGGTTGATTAATTTTTTTGAATTCTTTTCTGCTGCTGACATGGTTCAATGAGTTTTCTTTTTATTTTGTCAGTGAAATAAATAATATCATATTGCTTTTATAATAGTAAATAAATCTTGAATTCCTGTTCAGCGTCACTTGGCCATTGTTTCCAAGTGTGCTCACACTGTACTTCTGTATAGGAAAGGCTTTAAATCCTTGAGCATGTTTATTATGTGAATGATGTATAACCAAGAGTTCTTACCTCAGCTATCTTGGGATTATCATAGATTTCTGAAATTTCACATGGCTGCTCACTTTCCTAAGTAGGTAAAAACATAAATAAATAAAAGAAGAAGAAATGAAGCGTCACAGCATTTGCTCACAACCACAATTAAAGTCAGTGGTTGTTAAATCTGGGTGCACATTCAAATCACCAGAGAATTTTAAGAACAAAACCAGAAACACTGATTTAATTGTTTTTGCTGGTTGGTATTTGTGTAGCCTCCAAGGTGATTTTAAGGAGGATGGAAGGTTGGAAATCATTGCTTAAATAAACAAAGCCATGGGAAATCATTTTAATTTGTCTAATTTATAGCTTTCTCACATAACTCTATGTCCATAATCTCACTTCATCCTGGCAGTGCTGTCTAGCTCTTAAAACAGGAAGGGTAGTTTTTATGACTCTTATTTTGGGGTTGAACTAATCAAGGCACGGAAAATGTTAAGCCACTTGTCCAGGATCATATAGATGATGAAGTGGCAGAGCAGGGCTAGAACCCAGGATTTCTATCTCCCTGGGACTGATCACCCGCGTGAGGACCATCAGGAATATTCATAAGTAGAGAGTGGGAGTATTACCCAGAGTTCACACAATACCCTTGTATCACAATCATGGAAGCTTTCTGTATATAGTCTAGGTGGTCTTTGAATTCTGAACATGGTCTCCAGAGCAATCTACCCATTTGGAAGGGTACCTACCATTTAGAGGCTCTTGTGACCAATGTATGTTCAGATTTGAGAAAAGGTCAAATAAAAATAGGATACTTCAATCCACTCTTCTGATGGGGATAGCCCTGCCGGAGACTCCTTAGCATCTGTTTGCCTGCTATTTTCTCAAGATGATCTCCACCCTTTCTTTGGGAAGCGTGTGCCCTTTTGTTTGTCAGCTCTAGAGAACACAACCCACTGTACACACACGTGTTTGTCATGGCAACAAACATCCCTCTAACCAACTGCCATCCTTGTTGCCAAGAGACTTCCTCGCAGGACCCGAGGGCTGTGTGGCTAACCAGCTCCACCTGGAGCATAATGTCATGAGTCTGAGATAGAAAAGGAGGCACAGGAACACCAACCATGTGCCCTCAGGAAAACACGTAAGTGTCAATACCCTCACCCAAACCAGTTCAAAAAACACGCATTCCTGCCCCAAGTACCCAGACCCAAAAGAGCTACCAGTCACCTCAGTGGCCTCTCTGTGGCTGCTCCTTCGTCGGCAAATCAGAGTCAGTACCAAAGCCAGCAGCAGGGCGGTGGCCACCAGGGATGGGATGCCTGCTGCCAGCCCGAGAGATGGCCCACAGTCCTGGCACAGATTGAAACGCAGGTTCAGGTTCACCAAGAGCAAAGGAAAGGCTCAATCAATTAAAAATAAAACAAGATAAAAGCCTGCATGAGCCCTGAATGTCCTAAGTAACATCAAAATGGTAACAAGGTCTATGAAAAAATGTTTGCCACACGCGTGATGACTGCCTCATTTTCACAGGATTTAATTTCCACGTTTAACTCAACCGGAAATGGGTGATAATCAGGCAGAAACATGAGCAAAAGATAGAAAGAGGCCACTTCTAAGGCCAAAAGTACAACTGTCTCATCAACCTGGGCTAAGTGGAGCTAAAATTCAAAGCAACAAGATGTCACATTTGCCTGTCACTGTGGCAAAAAGGAAAAGGGTTGTATGATAGTCCACATCATTTTGATATGAATTTTTAAAATTTATTCACTACTGAATATTCAAATTCCTACTTTGCTTTGATCTGACTAGAGATAGCCACATGTGCAGTCACGTAAGTTTTCAGATGTGCAGATTATCAAGAATATCAAGGAAAATCCTTCACATTTGGCAAGGCTTTGTTATGTATTTAATTGAGTATTTAATTTGGATTCCCCTAAATGAGCGACTTTCATATATAACTTACACATGGAAATGCATGACTACCTGTCACAGGATGAACATGGCCAGCACCCCAGAAGCCCCTCAGCTCCCTTCCAGGCATCCCAAGCCCTGAGCCCACCTGAGGGATGTCTCCCCTGCTTGCCCACAGCATCAGGACGCACACAGAAAGCACACACATATTTGTGGCCAGTCTGTATCAAATCCAGCTGTGATTTTGCACACTCTTCCCTCACTTTGCAGCTGAGTTGGTCATAAGACCAATATCTGAGCCAGATTCTGTGCTTGGTGACAGTTCACATGACACACGCTAATCTTCAAGACAGGGGCTCGAAACGAGCAGAGCACCCTCATCTCCATTTTACAAATGACCATTTCACTGTAGTTTCAGGGTCTACTTACTGCTTCTGGCCCATCCGTTACAACTGGGGAGGATGTCTGTGTGGAAAAAGAACATCCATCTGAATAAAAGAAAGCCTCTAGAACACACTGTCCTCAGGGTAGTCTGTCACGGGTTAAGCTACAACTGCCAAAATTCCACCCCTTGCTAAACTTTCTGTTAAAAACAGCAAACAGCAACTGCCAAATAGAACTTGACTTGGTTGTTTCCCAGGTAAGAATTGGGATGAAATTGGGCTCCAAGGAGAGCAGACTCAGAAATTCAGGGGAGTTTCTCTTCATTCACCCTGTGGATTTGCCATAATCTATTTTATGGATACAACTGAGAAAGGCCTTCTCTGGGCCCTGGTTACCATGCCTTCCCTACACACTTTGGGCCTACTTGTCCCTTTTGCAGAAAGAAAGTAGAAATGCTGGTGAAGGAAAGGCTCTTTGGGGAAGCCTTAGTTGTCCTCAAAGGTGCAATGAAGCAGGGGCAGGTGCTGGAGCTGTAACTTAGCCAGGCTCAGGATCGCTGCACTATGAACAAATACATCCCATGAAAACATTTCTACTCAAGAGGGACTCTGGATCGCACCCATTGGGTCTCACCCATTGATGAAACATTTCTGATAAGAGTCTTACATGAATCAGCACATCTCAAATCGGCCCATCTCAGAAAGAAAGTCCTGCGAGAGCCGCTCACCGTGTCAGTTACACTAGGTGGTGGAGTGTGGAGTGAGGAGGTAGGTTTTGGGTTCACACTGCCTGAGTGGGTGCAGATTTTTCCACACTCCCAAGCTAAAGGGCCTTGGTTCTTCATTTATAAAAGAGGGATATTAGTACCTACCTCTAGGGTTGTTATGAGGATCACATGAGCACCGGAAGTGTAAGCTTTTGTCATTCCTTTAAACTTGGCAAGGCTTTGTTAGGTATTTAATTGTATGTTTAATCCTCTTGTCAACTCAGTGAGCACACTGGAGTCCCCGGGGCTTGGGCTTTTGACAATTATTGTCTCTATTTACAAAAAAATGAAATAGGTCTCAGAGGAGTTATGGGTCTTGTCTAAGATTCCACAGCATCGTCAATCTCCCCTGAACTCAGGTATTTGAATTCTAAACCTAGATCTCTTTCCCAACCACCCATCAAGGCCCATGGAAGGGGGGGGAATCAATACCAGGCATTCACACTGGCTACTTAAATGGTTACACTTGCACCTACATATGTGCAGTCTTACCCTGCCTCCCCCACATTATCTTAATGCCACATTTGCCTAAAGAATTCTATTTTTCAGGGTAACAGGAAGCATTGGATATTGTTTTGGGGGAAGACATTTTGTCTTCAGATTACAGAAATTCACTTGGACTGGCTTTAGTCAAAAAAAAAAAAAAAAAAAAAAAAAAGGAGTTAACTGTGAGGATGCATGAGTGGCAGGAAATTGGCTTTTTCCAACATCAGAGCTGGGAATTGAGAACTTGTTAAGCCCAAAAGCCATCCCTCCTGGGATCTCGCCAATTCCGGGCAGTATGGGGTTTACCTGTTTTCATTTCTGCCTGTTTGCTTCTTTCTCTCTCTCCAGATGGATTTTTCTGCCCTTACACCCCCCTGATTTTGTGTCAGCTAGTGCTTGTGAACTACTTTCCATGTGCCAGGCTGTTTAAGCACTTTCCCTGTATCAGCTCATTTGTTGTCCACAGCAGCCAGTGAAGCAGGACTATAGTGATCCCCATTTTACAAATAAGAGAGCAAGCACAGAGAAGTGAAGTGACTTGTGTGAGGTCACACTGGTTTGGAGTGGTTTGGCTCCAGGGTCTCTGCACTTAATCACTATGCCACGCTGATCTTCCAGGTGGAATCAACTTACTCTTTTTAAATAACCCTCTAACTTATCAGAAAAAATTGGCATAGCCAAACCCACTAAAAAACCTGGGCCAGGAAAATGCCTAGCTCAAGCACAGCAGCATGAAGGTTAGAAAACAGCTCTGGCTGTGTTGGCTCTACACAATACGAGAGCAGAAGGTGGAAAATCAGCTCCGATGTGAAACCGTACACCCTCTTTAACCCCAAATCTCCATGTTCCCTAGCAACTGAATATCAAGAGCCATAAACCGGACATTCTTGAGGACCCAATAATTTCCTGGCAGAATATATCTTAAGGAAATCATCACCTTAAGTGCATACAGATTTAGCTATAACTGTGTTGATCACAAAACTATTCCTAATTGTAATGAATCAGTTAAAGAAATAAATGGCTTGTGAAAATATATCACCGTCCTTAGTTATGGTTATAAAGGCTGATGGGAAACATTGATTATCTAATATTATATGTGGAGTAAGGACACAATGACATACAGTCAGCAAAACTAAACATTTTTATAAAGTCAAACAGGATTGGAAAGAATAATATCAATGTTTCATGCTGTTGGAAATTTAGGTACTTGAAGTTTCTGTTTTTCTTTTCCAAATGTGCATCTATAATTTTTATAATTAAAAATATTTCACTCAGCACCCCACCCCCCACCCCCAACACCTTTGAAGAGCTGTGTAACCCCTCACTCTAGGTGAGGTCTCTGAGGTGCTGGCCTTCTGGGGCCCAGGGTAAATTCTGTGCAGATCTCTGCTGCCTGTCTGGTGAATGAATGGTGCTGCTGAACTTACCATGTTGGCCGGCAGTGTGAAGTTCAGAGAAAAACTCTGGAAAAGAGATGGAAATGTTGGAGCTCCCAGAAATGGTCAGCCAGGCTCCTGACCCCTCCACCAATGTCCCTGACCCTGGCAGAGTCCAAAAGATTTTACTGATCCTATTGGCTCAGTCAGCCAGTCTCTGCTCCCCAATCCTGGCCCCAAAAAAGGTCAGGGGAGCAGGGGAGGCTGAAGTCACAAGTTTCTCCCTCAACATCAAGCCAGTGTTACCCCCAGTTCCGCCCCACCCCCACCAGGTCCTCCACCAGCATCAAATTAAGGCATCAGGCAGCGAAACTATTGCCTGAGGGGTTCCAATCCATGAGAGCAGCAAACACAGTACTAGAAATGTGACCAAGTGCTGAAAATGGTTCCTGCTCCCTCACTCTGCACCTGGCCTCATCTCTCCCCCAAACATGGAGTCAATATTTAAAGATTGGGGGCTCACCAAGGCACCACATTGTTAGCCTATCCTGGGGCCTACTTGTTTGAGTGAGGGCCTTTGGGGGCTCCTTCTTCCTCCCTGTCACTCCAGTTTGGGCTCGACCATTCTAGTTTTTCCAGGTTGTCCAGTCCCTTCCCAGCCTGGAACAAAGGGGGACACTTCTCTGACACAGCTGGTGATGCTCTCCGCCCTATAGTCCCCTGGCTGGAGTAGTCTTGTTTCTACTCTCCAGAGTCCAGGCCCCCATGTCTAGCCATTCCTGATTAGTGACCCCTGGATGGACCTCACTCAGCTCTAACCTTCTGCCCCCTAGAACCTGACTTATTCTTCAGCTCCTTATCTTCCCGAAACCTTCCAAGACTAGGCCCTGCCATTCCAGAGGCAACAAATTTGCTAAGTTGTTAAATTTAATGTTATCCCACTGTAGTTATATTGGGAAGGATTATATTGATAGAATTCAGAAGAATCTTAACCTTACAAACCTGAAGTGCCTCAAAGATCATCTATCTCACAATCTTCATTTTACGGAAGAGGAAACTAAGACCCAGGGGCTCATCAGAAACAACCTCATGGCCACATTACCTGGTGAGAACAGTTAGAGCTACTCTCTTAAAACAGGCCAAATGAGTGAAAAGATGATTCTAGAAGAGATAGTTCCAATCTATACAATATGTATATAATTGATGAAATACCTATTTTAGCAAAATATTGGTAGGTTGGAGTTCAGATGGATTAGTGAATGAGCAACTCCTCTGTGAACTAAAAATGTCTTAAGCTTTTAAAATGTGTAGTTCTTTCTGCCACTGGCCCCCAAAATCACATCCTTCAGTGAAGATGGCCCCACCCAACTCTCACGCTTCAGTGTTGGTTTTGTTCATTTCTCTGGCCCTTAGCATAGTGGGCCCTGGCTTGATCAGGAGAGAAATCAAAGTTCAAGAATGTAGACTTGCTCACCCAGGTTCACAAAAAGCTGTCACCAGAACCTAGATATTTGGTGACACCACTCCACAGGCCTCCACACCATAGATTCTGTGGAGAGAGTGGAGCCCCGAGGTCACAGCCCATTTTCTCCTCTAGGCAAGGTTAGAACAAAAGGACCACATGGGCCACCTTAGGTCAGCATCTTCTTGCCCAAGTGACCTAACTACTTCCCTTTATTCTTTTTTTTTTTTAGAGAGATTTATTTATTTATTTATTTGTACAAGCACTGAGTACAGTTAGGAGCTCTGGAGGGTGAGAGAATTCAACAGAGCCAGAGCAGGAAGCAGAACAGGCAGAAGGACCGAAGTACACTGCTGAGGGGAGCAGCGGGCGGCAGGAGAGGTCTAAGTGCCATGTGGGACCCTCCTCCGGTGGCCAGGGACTGAACCGGTGCCACAGAGGCTGCGGGCAGCTTCGCAGTCCAGCGCTCAACTGCTGCGCCACCAGGGGAGGCCCTACTACCCTTTATTCTTAACATCATCCAAGCCCACAGATGCTGCAAAGACACTGGTGGTCACTGCACTGAATGCAGAGCCTGACCTCATCAGTGAGTACTGGGTACTGATGTCAGCAGGCCCAACACAATGCTTCCTTTGGGGGGACTGCACAGGGGGAGGGAGTAGCAACCCGTGGGCCATTGCATGTGCTGTTTACCAACATTTGGATGACAAAGAGCTTGGCCAGTTTCAGAAAGACATTCATATATTATAAAAACACACTACAATGCTTGCAGGAGGGAAAAGCATTGCATACACTTGGGTGGAGAAGAATCTGACACACTGCCTCTTAGAAAGTCAGCTGGGGGGGTGAGGCAACTTTGGGTTTGGAGACACCAGACCTGGATTTGAGTCCAGATTGAGTCAATTAGTAGCTTTGTGGCCTTGAAAAAGTCACTCAAACTCTCTGCTCTCCATTTTACCTAACAAATCTGTTCTCCAGGCTTGGTTTTTCCATCCTCAAATGGGACATACTATTAACTTGCCCTGATCATCCCAATGGATAAATTCAAAGGAAGTAACAACTGTAGCAGCTCTAGTCAACTATAAATACTCTTGGGTCTCTCTCGTGGTCCAGAGGTTAAGTGTCAGCACTATCACTGCTATAGCCTGAGTTAGATCGCAGGCCAGGGAGCTCACACATGGCGCAGCAGACCTCTCCTGACTCCCCTTAGCAGTGTATTTCAGTAGATCCACCTGTTCTGCTCCCCACTCTATCTCTGGAGAATCCTCTCAACCTCCACACCTCTGGCCTACACCCCAGTTCTTCTACACAAAGATAAATAAAATAAAAAAACAACTATAAATACTCTGAATAAATGAGGGATCATGTGGTATTATACTCCTGAGGGACTGAGGCAGAGGGAAGTCACTTAGGAAGTTCTTGTTAGATGGACTTGCACGCATAGATTAGCAATACTCAAAGGACTAGAATTCGATCCAATACACTTTCTGCTAGGCTAAGTGCTATGTAGCATCTATATAATGGTTCCTAAGGCACTTTCAGATCTCAGTGACTGAGATCCCAATGACTGACAATTCTATGGGTTCACTAATTGTGAGGGAAAGGAATCAGATGGAGTAATCATTCACCATAGTGAGGGTGACATTGCTCTCATAACTTCCTCATAAAGGGAACACTATCATTCCTCCATCAAGGGTGTGGGAACTCAGGCCAAGATGGGTTTCTGGCGGTCACCACCTGGCCAGCATAGGTCAAGGTAGGTCATAGACCTTCCTTACTGCAGTCTCGTTGATAAGTAATCTCTCTAATAAAGAATTCTTGTGTTTTCCTCCTGACTTAGTAGACATTATCTGATTGAGTCACAACTAATTATGTGTCACCAGTCTATAAGACAGGTGGAAGTTTTCTGATGCATCTTGTGGATGTCCGATAATGCAACAGAGACAGATTGAACAAATAAAGATAACGTCATTGATCAGACACTTGGCTTCAACTGGAAACAAATTTAGCTGAAACATCTTCTTTGCAGTCTTTGTTGTATGTGGGGTTTTAATAACAAAACCTTAATATTAAAATAAAAAGTGAAATCAGCAAATATTTGATGAGAATTTTTTTAAAAAATGATTACTATTTGCATTAGAAAATAATTAAAAAACAAACATCTTGATATCTTTGTACCAAGGTATAATTATATTTAAATTTGGAGATATGAGCTTTAACAACCTGGGAGTTATGAAGGTTAGATTGAGAAAGATGCTAGTTCTTACTTACCATTTCCGACAGTTTCCCCAGAATTGTTTCCAAATGCTGCCCTGGGCAAGCTCCTTTCTTGATGGTTATGTGTTATTTGTTGGTGTCTTGCATTTGCAGAAATGTCCAACTGGGAAATCAAGGGTGAGAAGGCAAGAGGTGGTTCTGAAGCCAAGCCATTTATGGTGAGGGGAGTAGCCAAGTCCTCAGCCCATCCCTCAGGGCAGATGACCTCTGGCCGTGGCTTGTGTTTGTGGCTGGGCCATCCGCCCTCTTTACCTACATCTTTCACCCTTCTTACTTTTCAGATGCCTTCCATCTCAGTGAAGAACTCAGCTGGCTTGGTTTCTGCAACAGGCAGCTCTTTAGAAACAATGGATTATACAGCCTGAGGCTGGTTGCTCCCTCCCCAGATGACAGACAGCAGCTCTGCCCCAGCCTAGCAATGATGGAGGCAACATTTACCAGCACCAGCAGAGGATGCCTGGGAGGCAGATGGGTGTTGGAGCCACACTGTTTGGGGGGCAGGGCTGTAGATAACTCCACACAACGACCATACTCTCTAGTCAGGGAGCTGCCATTGGTGAGTTTGACCTCACCCACTCTCCGTTCTCCATGGAGAGTGGGGACCCTCCTTGAGCTGGAGGAAGCCCTTGATGTGGGCTGCTTCTATTGTTGAGGAGTTCTGTTAGTTCATTATTTTAAAGAGTAAAGAGTTGGAGTCCATGATAACAAAATAACAGGATTAAAGCCAATATTTTGGCCATTTAAATGAGTACATTCCATCATTTATGAACAAGTCTTTTTGATGTCTTCTTTTTCTAAAATTTTTAAAAAGTTTTTATTTTTTAATTTATTTGTTTATGTATACCAGAACTGGGGTACAGACCAGAGGTGCAGGGAGTGAAAGGATTCACCAAAGACAGAGTGGGGAACAGAACAGGCAGACTGACTGAAATACACTGCTGAGGGGAGCAGCGGGCAAGACAGGAGAGGTCTGCTGGGCCATGAGGGTGGCTCACTGGCCGGCCGGGGATCGAACTCGTGCTGCAGTGGCTGCGGACAGTTTCACAGTGCTGTGCTTAACCTCTTGCACCACCAGGGAGGTCCCTTTTTGATACTTTCTAAAGGACAATATATTAAGCATTTTTCTAGCAACTGTTCTGGGCCTTAGGGAATATATATCTACAAGGTCAGATGGACAACAATCAGGAGAACAAGTAAGAGCCTCCAGGAGAGCGCAAATGGGGTGCAAGGGAAAACTGAGCAGTGTAACTGGGGAAGTGGGCACCCTAGCCGTGCCTGAGAGATGACATTTAGGGTGCCTGTGAGAGATGAGAGGGGGCCGGGAAGGGGGAAGAGCAAATGCAGAGCCCTGGAGCTGAGGTAGGCTCCATCGGCCCTGTCCTGATGGAGGATGATATGAAAGAGCTTCCAGAAACCAGACAGGAACAAGTCTTTCTTCTCGAGAGCCCCTGAAACTTGGGAGTTTCTTGTTGTTGCAGCACAAGTTACCCCATGCAGACTGATGCATCAGTGACGTGCCCACCATGGGGGCTTATCCTTTAGGCACCAGTGACTAAAAGAGGGCAGAAAAGCCATACAACCTTGGCACCCTACGGATAGCACAAAACAGTCACACGTGTTAAAGGGGTTGGCACTAAAACCAATCTGAGTATTCTAAAAACATGGTCCCACATTACTTTTTCCTGATAGAGCCCACAAACCCCTAAGAATCCCCAAACCTCATCTAGTCAACCTAAAGCAGTGCCTTGATTAGACAGAGACTCTTCCTGGTGTCGGGAATGACTGTCCATCAGGTTCCCCACAGGAAATGAGTCCTGGACTCCATTTGCTACATTGCAGGAGCTCAATTATCCCATTTAGGGATGATTTACAAGGTTCCTCTTGGGGGACAGGTTCCTCTTAGAGTGTCCATGTGTCATCTTCCCAAGTCCTGAAGGGGCGAGTGGAAGGAGGGTCCCCCAGAGTCCAGAGAGAGAGAGGGCAGGCACCTCTGGGAGCCCTCCACAGGCCCACAGACAGGTGGAGGAGAGGAGGGGGCTGTGAGGGGCACCTCACCTGGCTGCGACCATCTCTACAAGCTGCAATCAGACGTTCAGCCTATTTGTGGCCAAGTGAGGCGACCACTTGGGAAGCCATCGTTAGCGTTGCTCATGGCTTTGGGGTGCTGTAGGGAGCTCTGTTCTGAGCCAGGCACACACACTCACTAGAGCAGAATGCTGTAGAGAAGGTCCCTTTTTTTTCTCCCCCCCCCACCCCCAGTTCTTGTGGTATTGGAGAAGAGTATCACCCAGGAGACCAATCGTGTCTGGACTAGTAATACAAACCCAGACACACGGATGAATCCACATTCTTTAATGAAACAATCCTAGACAAGGACTTAGGTTAACTCCTCTGCACTTTCTCTTTGAAGCTGACCATGAAATGTAAAATTACACAAAATAAAAAATACAATATGTTTATAGATAACACTCTACACAGTTTTTCTCTTTTTAAAAGAAACCTTTTAGGCATTTGGGAAATTTTTCAGAAGTTCGGGCTATGATGGAAATTTTAAAACATCTGCTGAAACCAAGGGAACACTTGTTCACAAACTCAACAGTAGACACACCGTGCATTATTTAAGACTTATTGGATGGGCCACATTGATGGCAAATCCCAGGTGAATTTGGTGGATAACAAGATTTTACCCATGAGTTAAACAGGCCATGCATTCCATGAGTAATATGAGAAATTCCACAGGCTAAAACAGATAGTTCTGGAAATTTAAGTTCTGGATAGTTCTGGATCCCTGTTCTGGGATCCAGCTTCTAGCTTCTGCTAGGACAGATTACACTGGATTGGACCAGGTTGAAGACCCAGGCCTCATATATTTTGTGAGGTCGTCAAGATAATGCTAGAACCTGAGCTGGTATTGGAGCGCTGTGACACCCCCAAGGCTGGGCACCCAATAAAGAATAAAGAGCAAGCCTGGAGCAATGTCCCCTGGCTCCTTCATCTGATCCAGGATGTGGGCAAGAAGGTCGCTCTGGCTTTTGAAGGGGCAAGGAAAGGGCCTGGGTCTTTCTGCTGCTCATAGCCAGCCAGCCATGCGGTCCCTTGCAGAGCTGCCTGGAGTGCCAGTTCCTGGGGGTACAACGAGCTTCAGGGGAACAGGCTGGTCAGCCCAGCTGAATCAGTGCTTGTTGTTGCATGAATACGTCACTCACAGAAGGCCTAAATGAGGGTTTTCACAAGAGGCCCATTGTTTCACATTGGCCACGGGTTGATAATTGTTGGAGTTGTGTGTTTGGAAAATACTCGTACTAAAGATAAAATAAGTACCATTGTTTCATGAGGGTGGCAAATGCTAAGGCAGAGCTGACTCTGTCTCTGACTCCCTCTCAGTTTTCCAGGGAATTTGTTCATCTTGCTCAGCCTTCTGAAGGTTGGAGCTACAGAATGTTCACATCCTTGAAAAGAGAGACTTCATTGCCACCCGAGGCATCCTGATTTTAGTCTCAACTTGGACAGATGAGACAAAATGTAACCCCAGAAAATACAAACCAACCAACAAAAAGAACCCCAAAAAATGCAATCTACCTTAACAGGCCTATAAGATCTGCACCGCCAGACAGGCTGTTTCATTGATGGAATCAAAGATCCCCTGGGCTAGGGTCTGAATATATCACAATATGATTATGCAGGTTGAACCTCCTTCCCGGTCCAGGAAAGACCGAGAAAGCTTGGTGAAAGGAGACTCAAGGACTGGAGGGCTGGTCAGGAGGCCTGCCCGGTAAAGCTACAGTCAGCAGCTCGGCATTCGTCACACTGCGTTGATTAAGGCTCTGACAGCTGATCCTTTACATACATACATATATACAGACATATATTATTATTAATAATACTTTGACTTTTTTCTGTTTTAAGGAAAAAATATCCCCATGCATTTCTACTTTTCTTTGTATTTTTCTTTTCATTTTTTTAAATCCCAACAATCATTTTAAATTAGACATAGTCCTCTGGGGGTATATTCTGATTTTTAAAAAATATAACCTTTTCTCTTTTTGCAAATATTTTGCTCAAAATGATGTTGATTCATCCCAAAGGAATTCTGGTACTTGGGAGATTCTGGGCGCTCATTGTGATGTCCCATGTTCAATAACAGCCAAACAGGACTTACGATTATGTAAACATTATTTTAAAATTATTCCAACATAAATACTCTTTTAAAGCTAACATACCACAGCTTTTAGCTCATAATGCCCATAGATGCCTTAATGAAATGCCATTCAAAACTACCTCACTGTTTAAAGTACAACTGGAGGTTCTAAAATCATGTAAACAACATCCTCTATACTTCTCAAGAACAAGTGCCAAATGTTGTGAATTCTGATTGCAAGTTGGTGATTGAATACTCGTTTGTCTGAGCGAAGTTACCGATGCACAAATTAATGGGATTGGTTTTGAATAACCGGGAGTTAGTCCTAGCTGGACTTGTCCCATGAGGTGATGAATCTTATGTTCCTTGAAGTGAACCAGTCTTCAACAGCATCCACTCCACAGGGAACCTGAATGATTCCTCAGAAGATGTCTTTGCACGTCTTGCAGATGCAGTTTGCAGTGGTTGTCAAGGAGTCAAGGTTAACCACAGCAAGTGCCTCCAAACTGGAGGAAGAAATGTTCTTCTTAAGGCCATGGAATCCCAAACACAGGTGGGGCCGTCTCAAGGTTAGCGAGGAAGGACTATCAGGAGGAAGCAGGATGCCTTCTTCTCGGGAAGCTGGGGGGGTTGCACCAGCCGCTGTCGTGCTGGACCTCACAGCAGATGCCTTTGCCCCCAGCGCAATGTGGGTGGGGGAGGCCAGAAGGGCGAGGAGCACTGGTGATGCAGAGAAATACCTGAGAATGACTCACTCTCCTACTCACACTCCCTCTGAGCACTGCTGACTGGGATGCCTTTTTGTGTTCTGATGTCCACATTCTCAGGTTTCCTGGCAGAGAGAAAGCAAAAGTCCTCAGCCAACGCTGTGCGCAACAAATCATCTATGGTTACACTTTTATTCTGTCAGTGTAGACCGAAGACAGCCCGATCTCCACAACATGCTCGCAGCACCGGGCACCTTTGGGAGCTAGTTCAGAAACAGAGAAATGACCGACCGAGGGTGGCTTCCTGCCCCATAGTAGCGAGGAACAAGAATGAGTATAAACCAGCAAGGCCTGAATGACCAGTGACTTCAAACCTTAATCTGTGAGTGTCCCCCGTGGATAATGTTGCTTCCAGAATCAAAGGAACATTTTCTCTCCTCCTTGTTGGCCAAACTTCAGCAAATACATACCTCCGAGTATTTAAAGTTTTGCTGGAGAAAAATACTGTACACTGTTTTAGGGCAAATTCACAAGGTGCAATTGTTTGAAAAACATTCTCAGCTCCTGTCTTTCAGGCCCAGCGGCCTTACTTCTTCATGTGCAGGGCGTCCTGGAACTTGGTGCTGGTGTATCGGGCGTGAAAGCCTTTCTTGTTGATGGTGTCGTCCGTGTGGAATCGAATCATCAGCGAATCCCCTGCAGAGTAGATTTCTTCCAACGGCTAAGGAAGGGAGGAAGGAAAAGCAGGGAGACTTTTTAGTCAGTTGGTTGTGGTTGGAGTTTAAAAGAAGGAGGATGAGCCCGACCTCACACCCCGCTGGCTGGCGGCATCCCTGCACCAGGGGCTCTGAAGGCATCGAGACAAGCTCTTTTCCAAAGAGAAGCTTTGTGAGTCCTAGTCCACGGTGCTCCCGGGCGCCACATCTTCCAAGGCAACCCTAGACATGCGGCTCATATGCATCTGTATTTACCATGTGGCACCTGGGCCAGGCACTGCTGTAGGCACTCTGAGATAGTGTATCTCATACTCTCTTTCCAACAACTTAGCAAGGCAGGGGGTAGCTCCATTTTATGCTTGAGGAAGCTGAGACTTGGGTTCACGCAGGGAGGCAGGACCCAAACTCAGGTCTTGCTGGCTGTAAAGCATGTGCCAGAGCCACCCAGCTCTAGGGTCACCTTTGGGTGTCTCCCAGGAGGTGTAAAACAAAGACCACTTTTCAGGCCTATGTCCTATCCCAAGCACCAGAAGGGTGGGGGGTGAGTGGGCATTGGGGCTGAGGGTGCTGCCTGCAGATTCCATATACTTCAGTGCTCAGGACCCTGCTAGGTCTTTCTCGATGTGTGAGCCCCGCCATTTGAAGGACTTTACAGGGACACCCCATTTTATCACAAATTCCCAGATATTGCCCTTTTTGCAAATGGAAGCTTTTTTGCACTCTGCATCGGGCAAGTCTCTGGCGCCATTTTCCAACAGCATGTGCTCACGTTTTGTTTCTGTCACATTTAATTAAGATATGTAGGTTGTTTTTAGACATAATGCTTTTGCACACTTAACAGATGACAGTAGAGTGGAGACATACTTTTACCTGTACTGGGAAACCAAAACAGTGGTGTGACTGACTGTGTCACAGCAGGCCGGCACCCAACCCGCACCTGAGCGGCGCCTGCATCTGCGTCAAAGGCACCCCTTGGTACATCAGGCCTTGTCATCCTTTCTTTGGGGTCAAGGGAAGGGAAGATGAAGGGAAATTAAGAGACTTAGAAATGCTGGCTTTAATTTGTTTAGCACATGAAGCACTCGTGACTACAAAATGATTTCATGTAAGTCCAGCCAGTAGCAGAGAAACCTGAGTGGCCGCCCTGGAGTAGAGAATAGGAGGGGGTTGAGCGCTGGGTCGGGGTTGGGGGTGGGGTGAGGCAGCAGGGGGGCAGTCGCCATTGTGGTACAACCCTACGGGGACCAGACACTGCACTGACATGTCCAGTCACGTTCACTGAGCACGAGCCAGATGTCAGCACCTGCACCGGGTGCTGGGGAAAGAGTGAACAAAACAAGTCTTCCCTGTGACAATGAGACAGACAATGATGGCCTTGAGCATAGCTGCTGTGCTTATAGTAAAAGTGATTATCGTCATCCTCATAGGCATTTAGTTTTGCTTGGGGGGGAACTGAAAATATGGAATCCATAAAAGTATGATTAAACAATCTTAAAAGCCTGAGGCCAAATAAAAACAGGTGGTGAGAGAGAGAATCCTTTGCAAAATAGGAGGAAAGACCAAGGAGCGATGCTCTGACATAGTTGACCTCAGTACCAGGCCTTCATGAACCCACCCCGGCTTCCTCCCCAGGCACCTCTGGGACTACTCTCCGCATTTCCCTCTTTGCAGATCTAGCCTCCTGGCTGTTGCCCGTGACTGGCAGGGCAGCTGGGACTTAAGCCCAGATGGGCCTGTTTGCCCTGAATCACCATGCTTTGCCCAGCCCCATACCCCGTGACTCACCCCCGAGCCACAGAAGCGGCCAAGCCGGGGCGCCGTGCTGTCGTAGCCATCGAAGGCCTCCATGTAGTCGTAGCCACAGTCGGCCTCCTCCTCCACTTCAAAGGTCCGGAATATCAGCTCCACACCGTAGCCATCCTCCGCCACGATCACCCAGTCACAGCGGGCCTGGCTTGGGTAGTTGTTGTCCCCAAACTGGGCGTGGGAGTAGAGCTCTTTGGTCTGCACTTCAGCCTTCAGCCTGCCCCCACACTCTAGAGCAGAGAGAGAACCACAAGCTCCCTGGGTACAGAGAACCATGTGCACCCCCCTACACCCCCCCCACCCACCCCGTACCTTCCCACCCACCCCCCCCCAGGGGCTTCTTTCCTCACACCCTCCACATGGGCCACTTCCTCTACGGAGCCTGGTGCCCAGTCATAGCCACCAGGCAAGCAAAGATTCCCACTTTACAGAGGAGTGAACAGAGGCCCAAGCTCCAAGTTTCGGGGTCCAAATTGGCTCCTACAGGCCAAGAGCCCCTGCTCCTGGGATGGGCCGCAGAGGGCCTTGAAGGCACTCAGCACAGCAGCACCCCAGCATTGGAGTCCACAGCCCGCCCGCCCTACTGTCATTGGGAACAGTAGCCAACAGAGGGCGCCAAAAGCACATCAGAGCTACTGGTTAGTGCTCAAGCCTAAAAACCTCAGGAAAGACTTGATTTGCAACTCTTGACTACAGGTCAGTTTGGGGGGTTCACAGGTAAGGTACCCCATACTTTGGGCTTGTGTTATGTAGCCTTGGCTTCTGGGGTTTGACTGGGTCCTATACATCGGCCTGGGTCCTCTACTCGCTAGTGTGGGTTGCTAGAGAGCACGACATAAATGGATAAACTAGACAGATCAGGCTTAGAAAGTCCCAGACATTCTGGAGGCAAATTCCTCCACAGCCCACCCTCAATGTGTTCCAGGCCCCACCACCTCCTGCTGGCCCAGAATTCTGGGGCGTGCACTCCTCACCCCAGGGCAGTCTGACCGCCCATTCCTGGCCCCTGGAGCTCGGGCTGTCTGCTGAGTCTGTGCTGTTTGTGGAAATTTCACGTTTCTGAGCCATGAGTGGGGCAGAGCAGGACAGGATGTGTCCTCTCCCTCCTGCTCAGCCTTTCTCCCTTCTTCCCTACCTTCTCCAGGTCCTGGGATGCTGACCTCTGGGTCTACCTGGGTTGGCCCTTTACCCTCTGCAGTCTGGTTGGGTTCAACGAGGGGAGCACAGCGGATGAGAGGAGAGAAGGTCGGTCGCCACAGGCGGTGCTCTCTCTAGGTCACTGCCTGCCCCCGGCCTCTGGGGCCCAGAGAAACAGCTCCCACCTCTGGCCCCTGATCTTGAAGTTCCTCGCCCTGGGGTAGTTGCACTGTCCCTTAGGGTGTCCCCTGGCTGCCCACCCCATTTAAGGACACTTCCTTAATAAGTTCTCCCTAAATCCTTGCCATATCTGGATATGCCCCAGTTTCTTGCCGGGACCCTGACCCTGGAGCACCTATGCTCTGTCTATAGGGATAGGCAGGCAAAATCACTAGTCAGTGGCTTTTAAACTTCCCCTGGGGGAGCTGGAACCCTTCCAGAGCTTGAGCAGGTGGGGGGGGGGTGATGGGGAGGGATGGGGTGTGTGTATATTCTGTAAGCAATGACTTCTGACCAGGCTAGGGTGAGCTGCACAGCCTCAGGAAGCGGGCCGTCATTTTGCTTAACTGAATACATATTTCTGGATCTGAAAAAAAAAAAAATCTGTGGGGGCATCCTAGGATCCCAGGATCATGATATCAGACTCTGAATGGGCCACAGCAGCCGCCTCTTGGCCAAAGGGCCACAATCTAAGGCCAGACTCAGAGTCAGAGTTGCTCTGGGTGTTCTCATCCCAGTGGGTGGCATTTTAATAACTAAAGAGCAGAGCTGATTTCTACCGACATTCTTCTGTTTAACAAAGTAGATCCTAAACATACAGTTTCCTCCAAAGGACTGAGTAAAGCTATTTACATTTTAAGTGGAGCAATGATAATGGGGAACAGTAGCATTTTTCATTTTCTGGAACTGGCCCTTAGAGGGTAAAAGGGCTCTTCTCCACCACCAGCTCGAGCTCTTTGGATTTCCCAGAGTAGCAGAATTACCAATAAAATCTTAAAGGCGAGGAAAAGGGAAGGAAGGAGAGGGAGGAGAGAAACGTGGCCCCAGCAGAGCTCTGCCCTCTCTAACTACTGTCCATTAGGGGCACTCAAACACCCCCAGCCCCCACCCCCGCCTCCAGGGACCGCCCATGTTTTTAAAGAGACATTTTACACACACTCACCCCACCCCGAATGGTCAGAACAAAAGGCGCCCCTTCCCACCCTCAGCCCCAGTCTAGCGCACCTGGAACCAGTGGAAGCCCACGGTCCGGGCTGCGTACCTGTGCTGTGCAGGGCCTGGAAGCCTTTCCTCTGCACGGACGCATCCGAATAAAACCTGAGGAACAGGCTGCTGCCTGAAGCCACCACGGGGTCCGGTTTCTTGCTGCCACAGAACCGGCCGAGGATGGGGGCCAGGCTGTCAGGGCCATCGTACAGCTCCACGTGGTCGTAGGCGCACTCCTGGTGCTGCTCCACCTCAAACTCACTGAACGTCTGGGGAGGTGAGAGCAGAGAGTAAGGCCAGACTGCTGGGGTGGGGTCTCCTCCAGGGGCTGGGAGAGGAGGCAGCGCTGTGGGAAGTGCCTCTGTCCCCAGCTTGGGGGGGGGAAGAGACTGAAGGTGTGTGTGGTGGCCACAGTCTGGACTGGACTCAGCCTCCTTTGGGCCCCTAACATGACCTAGGCGCATTCCATGAGCGATGGCTGCTGTGACCAGCTGCAGATGGGACAGCGGGGGTCAGTGTTTAACTGCTTGTTGGTGTTTGACAGCCAGTAAGCAGGGCTGCCAGTCTCCACTGTCCAAACTGTGCTCCTCCCATGCTACCACCGATCATAGAGCAGCAGTGGCCGAGTGCTCAGGCTGGGCCAGGAGTAGTTTCAAGAGCTCTACCAATATTCCCCTATTTAATCCTCACAAACCTGTGCTGGATCTGCTATCTTGATCCCCCTATTAAAGATGGGGAAACTGTATAGTGACAGCAACAGGGGTTCCCATGGACTTTTGGGGAACTGCAATTTTTTAAAACACCAGTTTCTTGTTTTTTTTTTTTTTTTAAAGATTTATTTATTTATTTATACAAGCACTGGGTACAGTCAGAAGCGTGGGAGGGTGAGAGGATTCACCAGAGCCAGAGCGGGGAACAGAACAGGCAGACTGACGAAATACACTGCTGAGGAGAGCAGCAGGTGCGGCAGGAGAGGTCTGCTGTGCATGTGGGACCCTTGTAGGGGGCCGGGGATTGAACCAGTGCTGCAGAGGCTGCGGGCAGCTTTGCAGCCCAGCGCTCAACCGCTGCGCCACCAGGGGAGGCCCCAAACACCAGTTTCTTAAACAGTATTCACTTCACATTAAGATAGAGCATAATCAATATATCCAGCAAGCACATCCCAAGGATGTTAAAAAAGAAATTCGTGCACATAGGTATGAACTGAAGATGAATCTGAGGTGTGGGTTAACTCCGCCACTGTGGTGGTTTGTTTTACTTCCTTAGCACTGTAAAGAACAGGAAAAGAGGTTCGAGCAGCTCCTAAAATCAACAGAAGTACTGCTTTCAGGGCTGCAGGTGTGCAGGCCCAGCCCCAGCGGGGGGCCATTCCCCAGCCAGCAGAGATTTATGTTGCCATTGCAACCATTTTCCAGCAGATGGCATTCTTGGGGAACGACAGCCTTAGTGTAAGCACCCTTATTCCCCTCACCCAGATTCTAGGTGGTTTTGTCCGACACAGGAGTCACAACCCAAAGTATTTCCCACACTGGCAGCCATGCACATTAGGTGCCTGCTATCGGCGCCCTGTGGTCAGGGATCCTGCCTCCTCTACCCTTCCATGCCCCAGGCCTGGTACAGAGACACCAGCAGTAGGAGTCCTTCACCCCATGTGTCCTCCACACAGCCCTCAACAGTGCACACCCTTGCAGGTCCCTGAATGGATGGCCACGTCACATCACCTTTGCCACTTCTCCTCTGCTCCCATCCATTCTCCCTGCGTTATTGGTCCATAGTTCTGAGGCACCTCCTTGTGCCTTCAGAAGAGCTTATCCATGTCCAGAGTCACAAGGACCCATTTTAGAACTGTGCGTCTGGAACACAACTTCTCCAGCTGGGTGGGGGGGTTGGGCACACCCAGGATCTGGGAGTCGTGGGGCCTGAGAAACAAGACTTGTGCAAAATACTCCTTTCTCCTTTGAGATAACATGAGCGTGGTGTGTGGGCTGCCACCCCATGCATGGTCAGGACTTTAAAGACAGATGTGGAAGATATATTTTCTTTAACTCAAGAAAGAATGAACAGAAACATCTCAATCCACTGTGAACTGAAACAAATACAAGTTATAGAAGAATATAAATTAGGAGAGTCCATTTGGGAAGCTTGAGTTTAGAAGAATGTGGCTTTTCCCCTAAGCCTGTAGATACATGATGGGCTTGCAGAGGAAACTACTGGAAATGTCACAGAGACAGCGCCATAAAAAGGGGGAGGTACCATTTCCGCAGTCCCCACTTAAGGGCAGAACCAAGTGGCCAGGTGAAGCCATATAACATGGAAGGCAGGTGGGCTCTGAAGACGGGGAGGAAGAAAGAAGGGGATCCCTCTGGCTTCTGCAGCCTGACTTGCACCCAGAGCTTCTGGGAAGGAGACAAGGAGGGAGACATTACAAAGGGACCATGGGTGAGAGACATGTGGGTGAGGGCCCCGTGGGGAGGCTGACGGTGGCAGCTATTATCTTGATTTGCTCTTTGATTTTGCTCCTTGAGCCCCAGCTTTCTGGGGACCTGCTTCAGAACCCCTTTTCTATGGTTCCCCGCCAGAGGGCGCCTTAGGCTAGTGGCAAGCTTTCTGGCCTCTGCAGCCCTGCTTCAAGCCAACGCTGTTTGGCTGGGCATTGACCCCGGAAAGCATGGGTAATTTGGGGTGTTTTATTAGAAAACTACTGTTCTTCTCTTCTTCCTCTCTGCACACTAATTCTTTTTTTTTAAAGATTTATTTATTTTTACAAGAACTGGGGTACTGGTCAGAGGCGCGGGAGGGTGAGAGAATTCACCAGAGACAGAGCGGGGTCTGCACATGAATTCTATTAAAGTTCTTCCACACCAAGAGTCTGATTTGCCTTTGTGCTCACGGATAGCCAGATCCCTTCCGAGCATGCAGGTCTGGGGTCTTGGGGTACCCTTCGGCGGCATGCTAACAGAAAGACTCACAAGAAAATGTTCCCTTCTAGAGTGGGCATTAGGGATCTGCGAAGTCTTGATTTCCTCTTTCTCTCTGTGCTGATGACATGTCTTGCCTCGAGAATGTATTGTTTCGTGAAACAGCTGAATCCCAAACAGCACCACAGATGAGGCCCTCACTGGAGAACAGGCGCACCCTACGCCTTGCTCATCCGCCACCCTGGCCCGAGGGCTTTACGTGCCTCCACATAACCCTCACGGTGGCCAGGGGGCTTCATGAGCATCCCAGCTTCCGGATGTGGAAAGGGAGCACTGTCCATGCACCAGGGAAGGGACTCACCAGTTTCACTCTGTGGCCCGCAGTTGAAGAGATGTTCCAGGTGCACTCCCTCCGGCTGGGGTACTTGTCAGGCCAGTTGGGGCTTGCCAGGGTCCCCTCTGAGTTGCTGATCTTGTGCACACAGCCAGCTGGGGGTGGGCGCAAACATGCAGAGATGTCATCTACCCATGAGCAGCTCCAGAGGCTTTCCAGAAGGGTCCTCCCCTCCCTCTTATTTGTCACACACCGTCATTAGCAAATGTGGGGGCAAAGGTCACCCTGAACCAAGTGTGGCCAGGCTCGGCGGTTTGCCGATTTACTTGCTTTCCCTGCCTTCCTGGCGATGGCTGGGGGCCAGATGGCCTTTCTTATTATTCACATCATGCTCATCACTGGAAGCTACTGGCTAAGACCACAGGCCCTGGGGTCACATGGCCTTCGGTTCCGGTCCTGGTCCCAAACCCTATGTAGAAGTTGTGGGACTCCAGGCCCTTCTATAAGCCTGGTGTCCTTATTTATAAAAAGGGTCTCAGTCTTGTAGGGGAGATAGGTGGGTCAAATGAGGTTATGCCTGTAAAAGGCTTAGCAAGTGCTAACAAAGTTCTTCATCATCACCATGCCTTCTAGGAACTTTCCCCCACTCCACCCCCACCTTACCCTTCTTTCTAGGTACATCTGTTCATTTTCCTGGAGGCTGCACATGTTGCCCTTGCATACACACGCACACACTCCAGGTGGGCAGTCAAACCAGCCCCCAGCCTCCGTCCAGCCTCACCCTCTTTGCAGTCGTGTCCATTCTCGTGGGGCCGGTAGCCATTCCTGCACCTGCACAGGTAGCTCCCAAATGTGTTGACACACTCATGCTGGCACCCACCGTTGTCCTTGGCACACTCGTCCTTGTCTGGGGAGACCAACGGACTCTCCTAAGAGGAGCAGCCAACTTGTGAATGTCCCTCACCGGAACCCGCTCAGAAGTCGCCTCCACCAGGAAGCCTCCCTGATTGCCCAGGCTTAGATTATCCTCTAACTAGGGGGATATTACTTGGCCCTGGTGCATATTGAATTCTGCATGCTTCTAAGGCAGTTTAATGAATATATCTGTTCTTCATTCCTGGTAGAGGATAAGTTAATAATAATAATGACAATATTAGTAATAATAATAAAAATAACTACCAAGTATCATTTATTTATTCTAGGGGGGACACAACTCCAAACACTTTCTATACATTACAACTAAGTTAATTCTCATACAATGTTAGCAGGGAGGTGCCTGTAGTGCCATTCTACAGATTTGGAAATGGAGCGGAGGTGCTCCAGAGGGTGGGAGCCCATGAGTCACGTGGTCCTCCATGTGACCTGGCTCCAAACCCACATACCTGAGAAGAAGTGGGCCCGGAAGCCGCGTTTGGAGACCGTGTTGTCAGACTTGAACTCCACACGCATGTTGCTGCCCTGGGAGGTGATGACCTCTGGCGTCTCAGAGCCGCAGAACTTGCCATGCAGCCTGGCATCAGGCGAGAGGCCGCTGCGCACCTCCACGAAGTCATATTTACAGACCTGCAAGGGAGTGCGTGGGGAGCCAGGAGGCCCCGACATCCCACCCCAGTCCCCGGCCTTGGCAAGACCCTCTTCCAGACAGCTGCACCCTGCCAGATGGCCAGATGAGCTCAGCCTGGCCCTGCAGGAGGATCCCCTCTTCTCGTACTGGGATCCCTCTGGCCCAAGGTGCAACCGTGGGCTTCACCTGACTCTGCCTAGGCCTCAGCTTACTTGGTCATCCCATGACCACTGCTCAGGGAGGGACCAGGCCCCAGCTGAACCTCACCCCCTTACTCCCCCCAGCTGGCCACTGACCCGATTCCTACCCAAGAAGGACACACCTGACCCCCTCCCACCCCCATGACCTGCCGCCTCTGCTTTCACCCTGATTCTCCTTGGCTTTAGCTACAAGAGGGCCCTCACTCCACTAGCAGAGGACGTGCCACTGAAATGACACGAAACACTCCAGGTTCTGCCATGAATCTGTGACTCGGGGAAGCCACCTTCCTGCCCGCCGGGCCCCTTGCTGTCCAGTTCCGAGCCACAGCCCAGCACATCCCCAATCCACTGGAGTGCAGAAACATACGTCATTGCCTTCCAGTTCAAACACTTCAAACTGAAGGGAGATCCGGTACTGAGCGGGGGCCACCACCTGCCAGACACAGTTTTTGTTAGTAGGGTACTCCTTCGGCCACCCAGGGCTGGTGATGGTCCCGTTCAGCTTGGTAATGAAACCGCCACAGGCCACTGCACGGCGAGACAGAAGCAAGATTCATTTGGTTTTAGTTCCAAGTGACTGCGATTCTCCCCACCCCCAAGCAGCAATAAACCCTGCTGTTCTTTAATTAAAAAAAGAAAAGTTAAGGCAATCTGAACTGATTAATTCAGTGTCCTTTCTTCTAGATTGTTTCAACGGAGGGTTTGCAGGGATGAAGTTGGCGGAAAGTCTTTACTGCTTTTAAAAATGTCATTGAGGGCCTCCCTGGTCGTGCAGGGGTTAAAGACAGTGCTATCAAGCTGTTGCCGGACACTGCAGTGCCAGTTCAATCCCCGGCTGGCCAGGGAGCAACCCACACGGTGCAGCAGACCTCTCCTGCCTCCCCCGCTGCTCCCCTCAGCAGTGTATTTCAGTGGATCTGCCCGTCCTGCTCCCCACTCTTGTCTCTGGTGAATCCTCTCACCCCCTGCCCCCGCACTTCTGGTTTACACCCCAGTTCTTGTATGCATAAATAAATAAATCCTTAAAAAATAAAAATGACATTGATTCATGTGTGCTTCCCTGTCCCCCGGGGGCCTGGCTGGGGAGTCCACGTGACTTGGATCAAAGGGGAATCAGAAATGTTTGTACCAAGCTATGTCATGTACCTGGCTTACGTAACAGGCAGATCCCGGCAGGTGGGCAAGGAAAAGGGAACACCAGTGAGGTAGGAAAGGAATGAACGACATGAGCTATTAGTAGAATCACGCCAGAGGACTCATAGTTCTTCTTTGCAGTTACTTTCTACCTTAATCATGTGAACTTTACACTTTCACCGAAGAAAACAAACCACGGCTCACCCAGTGGCCATTTCTAGCAGGCGCCTGTCATTGGGCGGGGCCTCTCACATTACTGACATTGCTTAGTTCCTTGGGGAAGCTGGAGGGCCTTCCACCACGCCTGCCCTTGGAACCCCACTGCCGCCAGCTGCCCTGTCTCTGCCCGCCGGCCCTTGCTTCCAGCCCGGTGGTTCCAGCACCCACCTTCGCATGTCTTCTTGTTGGGGGCCAGCTCGTAGCCAGGGTCGCACGCGCACCTGTAGCTCCCTAGCGTGTTCACACAGCGCTGCTCACAGCCGCCCTGGTCCGGCCAGGAGCACTCATCCACCTCTGTGGGGGGAAGGGACTATGGTTAATTCACAACAAAGCTGTCTGGTCTGTTCTCTACCTCAGTCTCCATCCCGGGGCCCCCAGCAAGTGGCCTCTAAGAACAAGAGTGGACACTGGTGACCACCTCCTGAGGAGTCCCATGTCCAGGAGCCCCAACCTGAGAGCGGCAGCAGCTACGGACAGTGGTGGGCTCTCGACAACACACAGGGATGACTCCTCAGCCCAAAGTGGGGCTCCCGGAGAGGAGTCAAGTCCGGGTCATTCCAGGCAGCCCTGGCAGCTCCTGGCATTCAAATCTGGCATCAATACTCCACAATGGCCCATTGCCCTGGGACAGTGGCATGTGGACATCAAAGTGGATTCTCATATTTCAAGTGGGGAGTGCAGGACCCTGCCCATCCTGGGGCGCTCCTGACACCTCCTAAAGGAAGCAGACACTGACTGCCTCCCGGCCAGCGGGCTCCAGGAGGGACTGCCATCTGGCACCAAGAAGGGGGGATGCAGAGGCCAACTGGCACCCTGGTTGGCACCTCGAGCCAGCTGGGCCCTGGCAGAGCCCCCTGCCAACTGGCACTCTGGTGAGAGCTTGTCTGGCCTGGTGTGAGTCTTCTGCTTGGCCTTTATAGTGTCTCTCTCTGGAGAGGTTCTGACACACGCACAGGGCACTGTGTTCACAGGACAGCCTCTGATGGCCTCTCTGGACATAGGCTAGGCTGGGGCAGTTGGCTGTGCCCAGGCTCCAGGCTAGCACTGGTGGGTGATATGGAGGTCACCATGGTTGCCGGACCCTTGACATGTAACTAGACTAAAGGGAGCTGAGCTGTGAGTCTAAAACACACTTGCAAGATGCAGTACAGGAAAAAACAAAACAAACATAAGACATCTCAGTAATGCTGTGTGATTACACTTTTAAATGATGGTATTTTTGATCTGTTGGGTTAATATATTATTAATCACCAATTTCACCTGCATTTTTTTTGGTAGGGTGGCTGCTAGAAAGTGTGAAATGATGTGTGTGCCTCATACTTGTGCTGTGCCTCCAAGTTCTATTGACCAAGGCTGCTCTTGACTGTGGCTCTCACCTCATCACCTGCAGGGGAATCCTGACAGGTAGGCAAAGCAGGGACCAGGATGCCCAACCGCAAGTGGGCAATCCAAGCCCCACTCACCCATCCATCCATCCATCCATCCATCCATCCATCCACCCATCCATCCATCCACCCATCCATCCATTTGCACACAGTAAGTGTCCAGGTACTGGGAATGTAATGGAGAACAAAGCAGATATGATCCAGCTTCAGAAAGAAAAACTGCTCTACCTCAGAGCGGAGCGTGAATAGAAATGCAGGCAGGGCCAGAGCCCGGGTACCACACTGAGGGTCTTGCTCCTGTACCCCCATGAGATCAAGAAGGCACAAAGGTGTCAGGTGCAGAATCAAATCACACTCGTGAGTGAAAAATCCAAGCTCTCTCACTGCGCTGGTGGCCGTCAGGATTCTATAGTGAAGGAGAGTGGACCGTGGAGTTTTCCAGCTCCATGGCCTGCCTTAGTTCTGCTACCTCAGAATTTCTGTCTCCTCAGTTTTAAAATGGGGGTAATAATAATGCCTGCCAACCGGTGCTCTGAGGACAGCGGAAGTAACTCATGCAGCGTTGGCAGAAAGATGTCCTTTCCTTCCCCTTCAATGACGTCCCAAGGAGGTTTCAACAGTCCGACTCCTCTTGTGAGATTAAGGATCAGGGCTGGTGTGCTGTATGTGTCTCCTTTTCTAAACGTGGTTCTCTGCAGTCTTCCTTGACATAAAAAAGATGTCAAGCTGGGCCCCAATTACAGCTTCACAGGCATCTAAACAGATGCTTGTATATTGAAATGCCCTTGCGGTAGAGGCTGGGCATCTTTCTCCGAGGCCCACACTTCCACAGACAAGGCCCCAGTCCCTTTGCCGAGGTCCTCCCTCACCACCTGGAGCCCTCGGAACAAGGATTGTTTCCCTCTGTGTGCCGGCCCCTAGCGCAGCCCACACCTCACTTGGTAACTGCTGGGTGGATAAGGGAGAAGATGGCATCTTCCAGCCAGCAAATGGAGCTGGTTATCATGGTTACTTAAAACAGCCAAGGCTCTCTGCTCAGCCCCTTACCAGCCAGTTTACCAGCTGAGAGAGAAACACTGCTTCCTGTTGCCTTCACTGGCATCTCCAGTAGGGTTGCCACAAAGTGATGATGATGATGATGATGATGACTATGCAGGAGATTCAATTAAATAGTAATTTCAGATGCACAACCAATCATAATAGTTGGGACATACACCAGAGGTGATATTTTATCTGAAATACAAATTTAACCAGGCATCCTCTTTTTTAATTTGCTAAATGCACCAACACTAATCTGCAGCTTTAGCTGGTCCTCTCAAGAACACTGGTTTGGGGGAACCAGCAATGGGGGAGGGCAGCGCCCCCTGCTGGTTACCAATTAACTCACTGGAAAGGCGCCAACACCTGACTGACCTACCTGGGGTGGAAGTTGATGGAAGAGGACAGGGGAATTAGGATAAACAGAACTAGAATAAAGCCTCATAATAATTCTTGGCATGGTAAGCAAAACAAGGCCAAACCAAAGCTGTACTGTTCCTGGTCCTGCCACTGGTGAATCTGTTACCTGATAAGGCAACAAGGACTTTGCTCATTGATTTTATTAAATGAATAGTCTCCTGGCATAGCTGGTGGACTCATTATAGTCACAAAGGCCCTTATAGCTGAAGGGGGAGGAGAGGCTGGCTAAGATAAGGAGCCTTGACAAGGGACACCAAGGTCAGCCTTGCAGGTGGAGGGCAGTCAGGTGTCACTGAGGCTGGAGATGGAAGGACACCAGGAGCCAAGCAAGGCAGGGCCTCCTCTGGAAGCCGGAACAAGGTCAGGAAGCCTGAGATCCAGGACTACAAGATAACACATTTGTGTTGTTTTAAGCAGGGCAGAGAGTGGGCTCTTCTGACACTTGTCCATAAGGAACCTGGAGGAAGTGTTGGGGAGGGGGCAGACAGAGAGGCTGGGAGTAAGGGGGGGGAGGGACCTGGGTTCAGATTGGCTCAGCCAGGAGTCCTGGGAGAGGAGGGAAGGAAGAGACCAGCCTTTGCCTGGGCATGAGAGCTGCCACTCTTCAAGGGATCTCAGCCAGAGATTGGGTATCTGTATGCAGGCGGCTGCTGGTGTGCTACTGGGTGTCCGATCACAATGCACCTGCTTCCCTCTCAGGGCCAACTGAGGGGACTCCAGGGCCTTGTGCTCAGAGAAGGAAAATGAGCCCATTTAAAAGAACTCTGGGCGTCTGCTGGCTGGAGCCAGGAATGCTGGTCTTCCCATCCCCCTGAGTGTGACTTTACCAGGACCCGCAGAGAACAGGTCCCTAAGGCAACAAGGGGCTTATTTCCCGACCCAATTCTCCTCCCCACTCCTTCCTACTCAAGCGTGCACTGTAGGCTGAGGGCTGATGCGTCAGGAGTTGAAGCTTTGGTTTGCCTCTCGGGCCATCGTAGCAATCTTTTAGAATGAATTTGTGCTTGGGAAGTCATACTCTGGATTCTTGATCTGCAACTATGTGAGTGACCCCAGGCAGCCCTTCTCAGCCCTGAGCAAATGCAACCCAATCCCAGTTCAAAGAGTTATTAGGAAATTAAAGGTTATAGTGTAAATCAGGTACTTGCACAGCAACTGGCACATTAATGATAGCAACTACAAAATATTTATTGTTATCAATGCTCAACTTCCCTAAGGTTCATGAAATTGGCTTGTAAACATACTAAGTGTAATTTCAAGTGCAGGGACAGAATGTTCTGTCTTGTACAAGCCCAGGACTTGTCCCAAGTCCATGGGGAAGTCCACTGTGTGCCTGTGCACATCTTTAAAATGGGCACCTACCTCCTCCCTCCGGACAGCCATTTGGGCATTAAGATTCTATACAGACTTTGTGATTTTTAAGCCAGGGGGCACTACCTCTCCCTGTGACTAGAAATGTAGACAAACTGCTAATTCATACCCTTGAAAAAATTGGCCGCAAAGCCTGCTTTATTGATAGAGCCATCGGACACAAACTTCATCCACATCCTGTGGGAGCTTGACTTCACGTCCTCCGGTTTCTCATAGCCACAAAAGTGGCCAATCAGGGTGCTCTCCTCTGTGGGGCCATCTCGGATTTCCAGGTAGTCATATGCACAGCTGTCGTGCCTTTCAATCTGAGTGGAGAAACACAGGCAACGTGGAAGAGACAGGATGGTCTGGCCTCAAAGATTCTGATTTAATAAGGGAACCCAATTATCAACTCTCAAAGATCTAAACAAGAAGCCAAAGGACCCAAGTGTGTCCTGGGCTTCTCCAAGCTGTCTCCCACTTGAACCCATTGTGCAGAGACTAAGAGATGATGAACAGGGAAGAATGATTCTATGAAACTTCCTGGGACTCCATCCTAGGTGCTTGCTTGGATTAACCCTCCACCGTCCCTCACAGCCACCAGAAAGGAGACTGATATGATCTCAAAGCTGCAAAGGCTTTAATACCAGAAACCCAGGTACCACATAGACCATAGACCATGGGTGTGAGATGGTCTCAGAGGTTCCTGTTTTCAATCCCAACATGGACACTCATCTTTATCAAGCAGAGTGTGTCTAACAACACTTGACATTTATTCTATCCTTGGGAAGACATCTGAGCAGTACTTACCTCAAAAGCTTGGAAGGTCAGGCCCACGTGAAACCCCTCTGAAACTGTAATCCTCCAAACACATTCCTTGGAAGGTCTGTAGTCATCGGGGTAGTTGGGAGATTGGATCTGGCCAGCGTCTTTGTTAATGTCTCCCCCACAGGTGGCTTAAGAAGGAGAGCCAGGAGGAGGGGGCCCTGATCAGACATTAGCAAGGAAGGTGGGTGGCCACTTATTGCCACTAGGTGGCTCCTCTAGGCAACATTTTCATTTCCGTCCAACCAAGACCACCTCCGGCAAGGGCACAATTTCATTTGTCTGGAATTCTGATTTTTTTTTCTTATAGAGAAGATAACCATGCAGAGCAGTGACTCTCTGCCTTGGCTGTGCACCAAGATTACCTGGGGGATTTTTTGAGCTATGAAAGCTAGGGCTACATCCTCACAGGTTCTGATTCAAGTGGTGGGGTGTGCCAAGTGGGTTACGGCCAGCGTTCCCCAGGGGATTCCAAAGTAAAATCTGCTCATGCAGAGGACATGCACACACAACTTAGTTTATAAAAACAAAACTTTGGGGCCTCCTCTGGTGGCGCAGCGGTTGAGCACTGGGCTGCGAAGCTGCCCGCAGCCTCTGCAGCGCCGGTTCGATCCCCGGCCACCGGCGAGGGTCCCACATGGGGCACAGAACTCTCCTGCTGCGCCCGCTGCTCCCCTCAGCAGTGTATTTCATCGGTTTGCCTGTTCTGTTCCCCGCTCTGGCTCTGGTGAATCCTCTCACCCTCCGTGCTTCTGACTGTACCCAGTGCTCATATAAATAAATAAGTAAATCTTTAAAAAAAAAAAAAAAAAAAAAAACCAACTTTGGTCTCTCCAAAATTTTGGAAGTGTCGGCATAAGGTAGGTAGCCAGGGGAACCCAAGGAGTGGGAAAAACTGGAAGCTGAACTGCCCTGGTGGCAGCTATCTAGAACCCAGACCTACTGTGTGCAGGAGGGGTCAAGTCCACAGTTATGGACACTTCCAACAAATGTGGCATGAAATTCCCTGCCGATGCCCAGATGAAGCAGAAGCCCAGTGAGGTTAGATTCTTTACTCAGGCCACAGAGCTATTCAGAAGCCCCTTTCATTTCCACAGGGTTCTCCACTCCCGCACAGCCCCCCATGTGGAAGGAGCGGACTCCCCAGCTGGCGTGGAGGATACTTGTTCTGAAGTGAGCACAACTCACCTCGCCAATCCCACATGTGGAGAAGGGGACAGTGGCCCCTCGGCTCACCCCTTTCCCTCCCAGCATTGCAGCTGCCAGGCGTGTCTGGGTGGGAGAGGGACGGCAGGCTGACAGGGACATGGGCACATCAGGAGTGCCCAGCGGGCTTCTCTCCTCATGAACAAACCTTCATAGACAGCAAAGAAGCCCTTGCCTAGGATGTTGCTGCTGCTTCGGAACTCCACCCAGAGCCGGCTGTCTGTGGAGACGAGGGGCTCCGGGACTTTATCACCACAAAACCGACCTGGGAAGTGGAAAAGAAGGGTCAGAGACTCGTGGCAGACAGGGACAAAGCAGCGTTTCTGCCACTGTGGCTGCAAGTGAGTACGGCGGCCACTCAGAGTCGCACATCCTGGGTGCCTCCTGCAGCCTTCCGGAGAACTGCAGGCGCCGACCAAAGTCTCCAGAGCAGAGCCCGGCACCCCAGCACGGGGCTTGTTGAGGTGCTGAAGGGGTGGCAGATGACAGTCAGTCCCATCCCGGGGGAGACAGCACAAATCGGCTGACACGCAGTTCCCACTATGTAAATGCAAGGGGCTCATCGTTGCTAGGGAACTTTTATTGCTGAAAAATAGAAACAAAGGTGCATTTCTCAGATCCTTGGTATGTGATCTGAAACCTGGTTCCCCCAGAGGAAAAAGGGGAAGGCATGCTTCCTGAGGTGATCCTTGGCCATATGATTCCTAAGGCCACATGAAGAGGGGCGCCAGGCAAGGACAGGGGGTCAAAGGGACATGGGTTGAGTCTTACCCATCAGATGACAACACAGACAGGTCAAGGTCTACTTGGATGGGAAGTTATGGTTCAACCAAGCAGCAGCCATGTGAGTCACTCCGAAAATGCATTAGCTTTGGGGGATGTGGGGACTGTAGATAGGTTTTCTTTTGGGGGTGATGAAGATGCTATAAAATTGATTATGGTGATGGTCGCACAACCTGTGAGCATCCTAACAGCCACTGGCTTGTGTACTTTCAAGGGTGAGTTGGATGGTATGTGAATTATATCTCAGTGTATTTTTGAAAAGTCCATTTAGCAGGTCTTTAGTGGGGATGCTCTCATTGCCAGCACCATGTTAGACACTAGATCAGCCCCTTGAAGTTGCAACTCTGCTACACCTTTCTGAGATATGGGGAAGTGAGGCTGGGCCAGGAATAAATGCCACTCTGGGCACTTCCTAATGGCTGGCTATGGTGTTCCTTCTTTGGGGACCACGGCAGTAAAGGCTGCTAATCTCCTCTGCTTCCTTCCGACGGTGGCCACCTGCAGCCTTTTGGATTTGGTGAGTTTACTATGGAGTGAGATAAGTTGAAATTGTTGCCAAGAACTTGGCAAGGAAAAATCCATCAGATTTTCAGCCTATAAATTTTCAGTAATGGTTCCTCTGGCAAGGCCAATTAGTGTCAATTAGTTCTTGGAAAACAACACTTAAGCAAGGGGACGTATTGCTTACCAGGAAGCACCGGGTTTCAAGTCTGAAATGTCTCCTTCTAAAACCCCAGCTGTCACAGCCATGGGAGGGGGTGGGGCAGGCAGTTTCCAAAACAAAGAGGGACATGCACCGCATTGCTGCCCAAGAACTCAACTGGAGGACATGAGCCAGAGACACCAGACAGCCATGTCTGCCCAGGACTCGGGAGGAGATAGGAGTAATAGGCTAAGGTGTTCTTAGGCATTGGTAATGCCAGGTGTGGTGGAATAACTGAGAAATTGTTTCTAAGTAACGTTTCTCCCCAAATCACCTTGTAATTGTTGACCAGAACTGTCCACTTTGTCCCTTGACCATTATCTCACCCCCCTCACCTTCGACCCTCATGGATCCAGCAAAGGCCCCCTTTGAGTGAGCATGTCCACACCAGATTGTCCTGAACACTTGCACGGGTTATCTCGTTGCATCCCCACACCTTCTGAATTAGGGACTATTCTTAATCTTGTTTAGAAAACTAAGGACTGGAGGGTTTGAATTGATTTATACTCGATCTGAGTTACACCTGAAGTAAAAGCAGGATTTAAAACCTGGCTGTCTGAGCTCTTGGCCTTAGCTTTCAAGGTCACCTTCATCACCGCCACCATCAACAGAACTTCTCTGTTGGAGCTACAGTGCTGAATGCTGTACATTTTGGATACAGCGGCGTTAAATCCGTTCTCTGGGAATGTAAACACTGTCCCCACTTTCCAGTTTGGACGCTGCCGCATAGGAATGAAGATCAAAGCCTTGAGCCACAAAGCCTGCGCGATGCCAGGCGTGGCCCTCAGACTCACACTGTCACTCCTGCTCACTTGGGAGGCTGCCTGCCCAACGAGGCCTGGCAGTGAGGCCGCAGACACTGATTGGCCAGCCTGGCCTCTCTGAACTGCCCTCCCTACTTCAGGGAAAGTGGGGAAAAAGGGCTTTTGTCTGCATTGTGCTGGGACAGAATACCCAAAGACAGTTCTGCATACAAAAGTGCATTGTTAGACTAATTCCTCCAGCAGGAATGAGGGAAGGAATATAAAGAACAGGACAGTATTTAAGATGAGGATGAGCTCTCTCGCAGCCACCTTCCTCCCTGCCGGAGATGCCGTTTCATAAGTGACCACTGAAAATGAAAAAGACTCGATAACTTTAACCAGCCAGGAAACGTGTACCATCTGCTTCCATTTCCCTCTCATCACTGTGTGAAAACCCGGGTCCCAAACAGCTTCCTTCCAAGGAGACTAACAGGCCGAGAGAAATTAGACTTGAGAAAAGGTGTCAAATTCCTAAACTGAAATCTGGTTCCTGGCTGCGGAGGAGGAGTTTAATAAGGATATCTAGAAGAGGAAATGTAGATGAGGACAGGACAAGTGGGCTCCGTGGGGAGTCATAAAGGATTCATTCATAAAAAGTTATGCCTCTATTATGCCTGGATTTTCACACACTGCCCTGGGAAAATATGCAACGCACAGTTTTTCAGAGCAAGATGCATACTTTCACAATCCGCCCTAATCCGCTCTCCCTCCCGCCAAAGGGGCATTGACCTGCCTCCTCTCCGCAGATCTCATGGCACTGACCCCTTCCAGGGACCAGCTTGGCCCACACAATGCACTTGTTCCTAACACAAAAGTTCACTAACAACTGCATTTGGAAACATCAGAGCAGGCCAAATAGTTGGCAAAGGAGAACGGCTGCACATGAAGAATGACGGTTGCGGGCACCGGGCCAGGCCTGGGCAGCACCGCGCAAGCGCACACACTGCAAATGTGTATAAAATATGATCTCGCACCCCAACAATCCCAACCAACAAAACACCACTGACAACAATGAACAGCAAAATCGCCATCGAATCGATGAAAGCATAGCCACAGAGATCAGGACCTGTAGTGAGAAAGTTCTTGTTTCAAGTTCAAGGAAAGGGAAGGCCTGGAAATCCCTTGGCCTGGCCTCGTTCTCACGAGTGGCCTTGGCCCTCTCTGGGGAGCTTCAGTGGCAGCGAGCGCCCTCCTCCTGAGTCCTTTAAGTCTATCTCATTGGGGGGTGAGGGGGTGGCAAGAGAGTATAGGATTCCAGATTTAGCAAACAAAAATACGGGAAGCCCAGTTAAATTTGAATTTCAGATAAATAATGAATCATGCATCTTATCTGGCGGTCCTAGGGGAGACCCTCCTCAGATTCAGCAGTGTCCTCTCCCCACCATGGGGACATCTACATTCTGGCCTGGTCTCAGCTATCAGTTGGCTATGTAGCCTAAGCAAGCCGGTCTGCTCTAGGGGAGCATGGTATTCTCATGTCAGTGTGGGGCTGAGGGGTCTAGAACATTCCCTTGAAAGTCCTTCCATGCAGCTCCTTTTATTATTTTAAGCATAAAATAAGAGTGGAACACATTCTTATAAAAGATGCAACCTAGAAGTATACGAACCAAACCACGAAGTTGTTTGCCGACTCGTTTTGTCCTTTCTCAGTATCTGATGAGCACCACCCAGGCCCCTTTCCACACACCTGATACTAGACGTGCCCAGGTTATTGTGGGTAAATGGGACTGTTCCCTGAGCAGCTCATGGGGATTCTGATTCTATCCCAGAAGTCTATACTCATCAAAGACTTCCCAGCTGTTCTGTAGCCAGGTTTGGAAGGCTCGACCAAGAATCCAAGCTTCTGTCTCTATTTCCATCAGAAATCATTCCCCCGCACAAAGCCACACCTCCCTCCCTGGAGCGGCTAGCACGCACTGTGCGGCTCATATTTGATAACAGCAGAATCCACGGCGGAGAGCCTTGCCCTGCCACCAGGGAGTGGCGTATGTGTCCTGCATGTGCCTGTCCATGCTTGGCCCGGGGTCCCTAGGCAGTCGACCTGGCTGGATTTCTCCTTGTGGTGGTACCCCCATGTAAAAACTGCCCTGGCTCCTTGCCAAAGCACCCATGGACACAATTTCTACCTGTTTGTACCTGATTTGAATTCATGACCCTTTGGACAGAAGGGGCCTGGGTGTTCTTCCCAATGGCAGCTGACATGGCTAAGCCCCTTGGCCATACAGAAACCTAATACAGGCTCCCAGGGTCCAGCCAGACCCTATCCCAGTCTCTTCTGAATGCAGGGATCCAACACGAAGCCAGGCTGCGCCTAGCTGTGAAACTCCCCTGCTTCCCTCTCTTTTTTCTCTCCTGCCTGCATCTATACTCGGCCGTCCTGTCGGCAGCTCCGTCTCAACCAGTTGTTCACAGCACAAGTCTGGCTTTTCTGCCCATGTGAAGACATGCTGGGGACAAAGTTCTCACTGAGAGCTTAGACTCACAGACTGGAGGCCCGCCCCGCGGAACCCTCTAAAAATGAGGACAAGCCACTCTCAGTTGCGGCCTTTCTGTTGGCTCCTTGTGAACTGCTTCTCTCTGGCTCCACCATAGTGTTAGGGCAATTTCCCAGAGAAATCAGGCAGCACTCAGAGAGTGGACAGAGAGAGAGAGAGAAAGATGTATTTGTCACACCGGCAGGCTCAGTGGGATAGCTCCCAAAAGTCTACGCCTGAATTGCAGGAATGGTAAGGTTTTATACAGTTTGTATGCAAAGCTTGTCACCTCATCCATCATAGACTTTCTTTATTGATTGGGAAGGGGATCAAGGTAGCTGTAGCTACTACTGTGGACAAGCAACACACCGCAGGAACTTTCTGCTCCAGCAAGCAACAGAATCCAAGCAGCAGACTTAGCAACTTCCTGCTTCAATAGTTGCCATCCACTCCTGGGACACCACTGGGCCTCCACATATGACCCTTCCCTGGTCATCCACGAGCTATTCCCACTCTGGTCACCCAACCTGAGCAAACTGGCCCTTCTCCTTATGCCACCTGCCCACTGCCTCTCAGGTCCATGCTGCTTTTTCACGGGGGAGTTCCTGTTCTGTTCATCTCCCCAAAAGAATTCATGTTCATCATAGGAAAATGAAAAAATACAGCTAAGCCAAGAACAACATAATAAAAAAAAAAAACCACTCTGCCATCCAGAAATAACCACTGTGTGCAATTTGTTTATAATTCCAGTGGATATTTATATTGTAGATGACAAAATGGTTTCTCCCAGTTGCGTTTAGCCCACACAATACTTTCAGTAATTCATTGTAATTGTGGTCAGGATCTTCATTCTGCAGTTTGCCACACTCCCCACCACTCCTTATGTATTATGCCAACCACCTCACTCATTCACACTTTATCCTGAGTTTGCAATGCCTGCATACTCTAGATGTAAATGTATTTTTGTTAAAATGGAATCCTACACATTCTGCCACACCTTCTTGGTGTAATAATGTATGATGAACACCTTTCTGTATCAATGAGTAGTCACCTCCAGCTTTACTTTTAATGGCTGGAGAGTTTTCCATTGAAACGATGTATCGTAATTTATTCAGCTAACCCCTACTCTTAAACGTTTCAATTGTTTTCAATTTTCCCTGCTCCAGTGAACAGCCCTGGAACTGGAACTTTGCACACTTCCTTAATTAGTTCCCTAGGATAAATTCCAAGAAGTGGAATTGCTGGGTCAAAGGATATTTGCAGTTTTAAAAGCTTTTAACATGTGTGGCCAAATGGAGGGTTGAGACTTTTACAATGACACAGGCCCCTGAGAGCTTCCTGTGGCTGCGACGGATGGACCCTTCCAAACATTAACAGCACCACGCAGAACACCCCATCACTTGTCTCAGAGGCTTTCTAAAGTCAACTCACCCAACAGGGGGGCCTTTCTCCAGTAACCATCCCGGACCTCCACGTAATCGTACCAGCACAGGCGGCTTTTAAACAAATCCATGGATGTGAAGTTTAAGATGATCTGTAAAGAATTACCGCAAAGTGAGTTTGGGCAGCAAAGCCCAAGTTGTCTAGAAAGATCCAGGTTGCACTCAGGCATTCTCATGTTACACTCTAGCAGCCAGAGCTCAGACCACAGTGGGAGTGTCCTCGCAGACACACGCTCACAGGAAGCTCATGACATTAAATAATAAACCTTAGCAGGATGGGGAGTAAACAGAGGAGATGAGTCCTTGGGCTCTGTCTGGGGAATAACTTGAGCTTTTGAAGTCACTAGGTGGTTTACAAAAAGCGAGATGCATTAAAAAGACAGGCCGGGACTCCTACAGATAGGGGATTTGGAAGGAGGTAAGGGGTCAATGAAGTTCAAAGGTACATAAAGATCTTAGCGCATCATCAATCACTCCAGAGGGGCTGGATTAGCCAGAGCACATCTGAGCACCTCTGGGATCAACATCCCCTGGGAAGGACCTCACTCTCTGAGGTGTGGTATATCTAATAGCCTTTCTACATTCATTCATTCATTCATTCGTTCGTTCATTCGTTCGATCCACCACTGTTTGTTGTCCACCTACCACATACCCGTCTGTGTTGGCCAATTGAGATAGAAAGATCAGTAAAAAGCAAGACAGGAGTCTGCTTTTAGGGACCCCAGAGAATCAAGCCAATCAGAACATTATGAGAAGAGAAGACAGAAAGGGCATCTGGAGCCCCAAGAAGGGAGAGATAAATTCTGCCTTGTGATAACTGAGCAAAGCTTCTCAGAGGAAGTGGCATTAAATCTAAGGGGTATAAAGATTGATAAATTTAAATCTAAGTGGGCAGGGAAGTAGGGTAAGATAGCATTTGGGTGAGAGGGGAGATGTTTGGGGAACCGAACTGAAAGCACAGTGCAGGTCTGTGTGTGTCTCGAGGAGGAATGAAGGCTGGGGAGGTGTACAGTGCAGGGGGACCCCAAAGAAGGTTTCTATTCTGGACATTCTTGAGGCCACTGAATGGGGGCCCTTACCCACCAACAGTGAAGGCAGCTGGGGGCCCAGAGGACTGGGCACACCATACTTCATGTGCTCCCCTCTCCCTTTACCCCACTCAAGCCCCATGCTGCAAGGTGGCCTCTCTCTCAGCCTGTCCTCCACATCCTGCTCCTCCTTTCTCAGCTCTTCTTGCTCTCCAGGGGTCTGCTGACCTCTGTTAGCCCCTGCACCCCTACACCCTGCTCCTAATCATTTTCCTTCTAGGGGGACCTTGCTCTCAGTCAGTATATGTCTCTCTAATATCCTTACCTTCCCCTTCCAGCAGCCACTTCCTTTTAGATAGTCCCTCTGCTCTAAGTAAAGCCTTAGACTGGAGGGCCCAGGTCAAAGGTCCAGTGTCCTCTGGCCAAATCAAAAGGACTGTTACTGTCCTCATGCTCCTTGGCCATGCTGCTTTGAGCCTCTCCTCTCTGGTTCTCACGACACCAGTCACTGTTGGCTCTCCTCTGCTGGCTTCTGTCCTCCCTGCTCCCCATTCACTTCCAGGCACCTCAAAATAAAGCACTGGCCTCCAGCTTTCCTGCCTGTAGGTAACACATCCGCCCCTCACCCCACCCCAAGTCACCAGGTGCAGCACTTTGGAGTTATCTCTACTTTGCCCCTCTGACTGTCCTCCCCGGATCTGGTCACAGACTCTTCCTCTAAGATGTATGTGCTCCTCCCCCAACCCTCAGGACAGACCTGCAGCCCCTTCAACAGCTCCTCCTGCATTGTTCCTGCTAGGAGGAGTCCCTGACTACCCCTGTTGTGCCCTGCCCATTCTGCACAGTAGGGCTTCTAGATCAATCTTGTGCTAATGGCTCATCCCTGCCAGATCCCTCCTAGGTAGAAAACTCCCATGGCTCCCTATGCCACCATCTCATTGACTAAACTCAGTGACTTGTGTGACCTAATCTCCCACTGATCTGTCCATGCGGATAGCCCAGTAGGCCTCGCTCCAGCCTACTCAAGGCCCAGCTCAAGGGTCCCTCCTCCCACCCTGAGTCCTTGTCTGATCGCCTGGGTGCATGTGGTCTTTCTCTTTGCAACAGCAACTCGTCTCTGTTATGGTGACTGCACAGCAGGTATTTAGAGTCAGGCAGACCTGGATTTCTTCTCAGCTCTACCACTCACTAACTGTGGAATCTTGAGCAAACATGTGTCCTCCTGGACCCTGAGTTTCTGCATCTATAAAACAACAGCCACACTGTTGGGTTGTTGAAGGGACTGCATGAGAGACTGTATATAGTGTGGGGAGGGCGGTGCCTGGCATACAACAAGCACTCAATAAACAACAATTTTAAAAATCAAGCCACACTGAGTGTGCACTTATGTACCACAAACCAGGCCCACTAAGTGCTCTTCACAGGCTGCCTGTCTTGATTGGCACCGAGAGTGCCCATCACTCCCCCTGGGGGGATCCCACCCAAATTTTATGTCTCAGGATGAGTAGCACCTTCTTCCACAAAGGCCTGTGATCTCCCAGGAAATGAAGTCGGGACCAGAAAGTAACAGGGCAACTCACCTCTGTGTTGTTCAGTGCATGTGCATGTGTAGAGTGTGAGAGTGTGTGTGTGAGGTGTGGTTCTCCACCCTGACTACAGATTAGATTCACCCCAAAAGCTTAAAAAAAATGTTGGTGTCAAACATATGCCCCTCCTTCACCCAAGTCAGGCCGCCTGGGCTGGGGGACCCTAGCTAAACGTTGAGTCTCTTAAAGACAGGGATAAGGATTGTACTTAGATTGTACTTAGATTTCCCTCATATCGCATTCAAGTGGAAAAGCCAGCAGTACTAGCTCACTGGATGCAACATTAATCACCAGCTTTTTTCAGGAAGAGAATATTATTATAATTTCCTTGGTAACATATTCATGATCTGAATGAATGGGATAATTATTCAGGCTAATTATTTTAAGTATGTTAGTGAACCACAAAGACCATAGGGGAAGAGGCGATGAACAAGAGGTGATACTCGAATCAATCAAGTTTGCTAATTACTGGCAGCTCTGGGGAAGGCTGGGGGAAGCAGATATTGAAATAATTGGTGCAGGAACTTCAATGATGCATATTCTCCCTGCCCCCAGTTAACAATAGTAATTAAGGCTCGGTGAATCTTATGCAGCTAGCTCCAGCACAGCACACATCCTCTGCTACACAGGGCAATTCAATGGTTTGGGGGTTACCAAAATCGTTCCTCTTCCTCCTCTTCTTTCCTGCCTCCCCCTAGGTAATGCCCCCAGCAGGCACAGGGACAGCACATCCACCCTGGGCCAACACCTCTGGAGACTCTCAGGGTCAAGATGACAACTACATTGTCTTTAAGCTTTGAGCCAGTGTGTGCATGTGGGTGTTGTGTGTGTGTACGTAGGCGTGTGTGTGTGTGTGTGTGTGTAAATACGGGTTCAACTGTCTATTTGCCTGTCCCCTTTGTGGAATTATAAAGGATGATGGTTAAGCATCCAGGTTCTCAGAGTCAAATCACTTGGTTCAAATCCCCCCTTGGCAATAAGACTATGTATGCAGCTTTGGATAAGTCTTACCTGTAAAATGAATGTGGTAATAACAACTACCCCATGAATTGTCGTGAAGATTAAATGAGAGAATCTCCATAATATGTGAGAACAGGACCCAAACCACAGAAAATGCTCTCAGTGTAAAGCTTTGAATGGGGGCTATCTGCAGGTTGGCTACAGGTATCAGAAAATCCAACACTCCCCTCTATTCCCAGCTGCAGGGCTTTCATTCGACTACTCATCCATCCACATGTCCATTCAACACTATATTGTGTGACTGTACATGGGCTGGGGTGCTGGGAGCTGGGGTGAGCAACCTCTGATTTCAATGAGTTTAGGGTCTAGAAGGCAGACAGCTGAATACACCAGCAATCAGGATATTACGAGACAAACTATAACAGCTAAGGCTGTAGGGCAGTGGACCCAAGGGACAGAGAGCACCTCTCAACAATAGCTACATCTAGTTTGAAACAACTTGAAGACCCCTTGGATTTGTTAAGAGATATAATGAAAAAGACACAAGATTTGAAGCACAAAGCCTTCAGTTCCCAGTTCTGTATCTTACTGTGAATTTGGGCAATTTTTCAAATGTTTGAATCTCAGATTACTTATCATACAATGGATACAGGGAGATGCATGCTGCGGGGAAGTTCAGACCATATCACCTTTGGGCCAGGGCAAAAGAGGGCCCTCCCCTTGGACTCAGCTCCAGAGAGGCATGGAATCTGCAGGCCTCTCCAGCTCCTAGATGGCACTCCAGGAAGACAGGACCCTGGAATTCCCTGTCCAATTAGCCCTGAGCCCACTTACAGGGCAGGTGAAGACCCGTGCATCCACCAAGGATCCATCCTCCCTGGGGCACACAGCACACATGGCCATGCCACTTTCCTGGAAAGGCAGCCAAGGAGTGACTTTTTGCAAGGCTGGAGTGGCAGGTGCTCAGGAGTGTGCGCTGGGCTCTCGCCCACAGTGCTCCTGAGATGGAACTGGGGCTGGGAAGAGACTCTGGGGCTGGTTACAGCTTGGGGGCTAGTTCTTCCCATATTGCTTCCACAGGGGCACCCTGATGCCTTTAGGAATTCCAAATTGGCTCCTTGCCTTCCAGGGAATTCTGATGGTGTATTTACCATGGTGAAAGCATAGAGCCTACTTTGTTTTACAAACTCAACTTGATGTATAATCTATGTGGACATTTAGTACCTAGGCCTTTATCAGTATGGGGAGACTAGTTGAAAAGTCTAGAAGTAAATGATGGTACACAAGCTAGGCCGGGGCCTGGCGTAGAGTGGGAGCACGTAACATAACAGCTACTATCACCCTTATGAATAATAATAATTCCTCACACCCACCTGGCTCAAAGGATGCTAGTCACCTCCTGGGGTGGTTTCACACCTACCTTTTCCCCTGGAGTCACCGATATCCTCCAGACGCAGTGGGAGTAGGAAGGGTAGCCATTTGGAAAACCAGGTGCAGAGAAGTTTCCCGTCGTGTCCTGCAGGGTCTCCCCGCACGCTGCACGGGCAAAAGCACAGCTGTGATCCCGCCACATGTCCCCCCCACCCAGGCAGCTCCCGGAACAGGCTGCAAAGACAGCTTTCTTCTGCCAAACCCTCGGATCACGCTGGTGAGAAGTGTGCACTTAGGCAGATTGACATTTTTCTGGCTAACAAAACAGAACATGGGGGGTGGATGCCAAAGGGTGTCACCCCAGGACATTCTTCTGAGGATCTCAGAATCAATTGTGGCCAAGAGCTGGGTTTTAATCTCAGCTCTCCAGGCAGCTGTGTGCTGGTGGGCGAGACCCCAGCCTCACTGGTCCTTGTCTTATGTGTGAAACAGACAGGATCTACCTAGCGGGTTAAGGCAATCAACTGCATTCCGATACATCAGGTCAGTGCTCATAGCCGGCTTCGCAGTTACCACTAGCAGCATTTGTGGTAGAGAGACTAGGAGATAAGTAGGGATAGTAAAAAGAAAAACACAGTGAAACTGATAGCAGCAATTTTTCCTCTTCTTTTTCTGCAACCGTCTCTAAAAGAGCTACAAAAGAAGAAAACAGAGAAATGACCTGGGGCACCAGAAGCTGGAATATTTTACAGTAGCCTACTCTGCTCTTAAATGTTTGAGAGCTGCCTGCTTAGGAGTCTAAAAACTAGTCCTATGCATGTGAAAACTATTTCCCTGGGATTTGTTCTCAAAACAATTAAAAAGGTATCTGAATGAGTAAGCTTGGAAACTGCAGATTCATGTCCCTCATCCCCAGGCATTCATACCCCAAAGTCCCGGACTTTGATTTGCTGGTGTTCGTCCTGTTAAGGGGTCCCCTCCAAAGCGTGGGAAACAAGCATGCTTACACAGCTTTTCCAACAGGCAGCTCAGCCTCTGCACAGCAGCCACCGCATTTCTAGTCACTCCTGGAAACGACTGGAAGTTGCACTTTGGAAGTGGCAGGGAGGCACAGAGAGAACAGCCAGCCCATCCTTGCCTCAGGAAATCCTGGATATTGGGGCTTCAGTATCATGTTACCGAACAACTGGCAGGCTTCATGAGGGTCAAGCCCAGCAGTCACCACCCCCCCGACGGCTCCATGGAAATTATTTTCGAACAATCACTGACATTCTGCAAGAACAGATACATTACTGCTTGGCTTCATGGTATTTACCAGCTGCCCTGAATCCTTTGGGAAGCGAGAGGCATATACATTATAACTAAATAAATAGGATGGCATTTCCTAGGGACTGCTATAAGGTTTCTCTTTCAATACAGCCGGGTTACATGATATGTATGTCCTGTATTTCAGCTCTAACATGTCCCCAGATGACTAATCGCTGGATGGACATATTTCCTAGAGTTTCATGGGGAGCAAGCTCCATGCAGCCCTTGCAAGCACTGTGATCCTGCTTAACAGGGCAACGTGATAGTCCAGATTTTCTAAGATGGAGCTGATTTCCAATACTCTGTTCCACGGTCAAGTCACGTGTCAGTGCGGGAAGTTAGAAAAAGTTCCCAGAACTGTTGGTGATAGACTTTCCTTCTCTCTCCCCAAGTCACTGAACTGCATTCTCTCCCATCAGTGGTAAAAACGTGTCTGCTATAACAAATGTTTTGCATTGAAACTCTACAGCTACAAGAGGTGGATATAAGTTCACCCCAGGACAGTGGGGGTGGGGTGTGTGATGATGCCAAAGCCAGAGGGTCAAAAGGAAAGAGGGCAGACTTGAACATCGCCTCCAAGCCGAGAGTGCTACCCAGTCTCAAGCGGCATATTGCTGATCACTGACCAGACCCCGGATGGCCAGGACAACCCCCGAACCACAGAAATGACCTCATGAGGCACTGAGACATCCTCCGACTCCAGGGTTTGGAAAGCTGATTTACTCTTCCAGAAATGCTCTCCTTTGTACTTTGCCTTTCTACAAAACCTTTACCTCTTGTTTCCCCAAACCCAGAACTCCTACTTGCATCAAAAGGAGAGGTGTTTTCACCTTTATGGGGTACACACTGCACCCCTGTTCACTGTTGTTCCACTGTACCTTCTCCCTCTTCTGAACATCAGGTCTTTGCCAAAGAATTCCAAAACTTCCCACAATCAAGCTGTGGGCTCTGAGACCTATTATTCACCTGACTACCTGCAACCACTTCACCATTCAGGCTTCCCCCGCTGCCTAGCACCTCCTGCCAGCAGCACCCCAGAAATGATAGCATCCAGGGAGTTGTCTGATCAGGTACCCCAAAGTGTTTTCCAAGCCAGGAGGAATGTTTGCAGATTTCACTCGAGTTGTGCTCCTGGGTCGTGGTCTGGAGGCCCCGGAGAACCCCCAAAATTCACAGTTACCTGGGCACTTGTACAGCTTCCTGGCTTGAGCTATGTCTCCCTGGCTGAGCCGTACGCGCTGGCCAATGGTTGGCCTGATGCCATTGTCATCTCGACGGGGGAGGATGGTGTCTAAGAAAACTCCTCTACAGGAGGCAAAGAGGGAGAGAGAAAGGAGAGAGAAGTCAAGGCTGTCTGGTCATCATGAGGAGAGTTGTAGTCTTCAGTCCTTGCCCACAACCCCATCAACGTTCCCACTTGCTGGCCACCCCTCCCCAGCCTGGCAGGACTGAGACGTTTCCCTCCCTCCTCCTGGCATTGCAGCGCTGCAGCTTATCGTGGCCTGCTCACAATCCAGTGAGAAAACAAGTGCCAAGTTTAAAACTCTGCCCTAGTCCAGTGGCCTTAGGATTTCCTTACTGATGTGCACTGAGCATTTTCCTCGAAGCCCCAACACTAAGCTCCTGGGGCCACCACTGGCACAGCTGCAGGCAGCAGCACTCAGAGACTGCCAGGGAGTGGTGCCCCTGGAGCTGAGCAGTGGGCAGGAGACTGGCAGGGAGGCTCCAGAGAGAGCGTGGGAGCCAGCCTTGGGTGAGATGCTCAGGGCCTGGACAACAGTGTTGGCTGAAGAATTGGTGAATAATGGGGATGCACATATCTGTGACAAATACTAGTCACTACATCTGCAGTAACTAAAGCAACAAAGCTCTTGATTTGATTGTGTGAATGAAGCATCCGGAAGGATGAGTTTTCAGGAAGTGAGGGAACCCCATAGAACAAAGTCTTCTAAAAATCCACATAGAAAGTCAGTAGAAAGGGCACTGCAGGTATCCAGATAGATTTGCCAAAATCATTCTGAACTCTGGGATAGGAGTGGAACAGTAGCTGTGGTAGATTGTTCAAATAATGAGTTGCCTCTTAGTATCCATATCCCTTTGCAACCTGAAGTTGGTACTCCTCCTATTAAGAGATAGAATCTAATTGTCCACCCACTTGAACCTGGGCTGGCCTTGTTTCTTGCTGTGGCCAATGGGAATGTGACCGAAGTGAAGCCAGTCTAGTTTAAGAGCCTGGGGCTCATGGGCTTGCAAACTCCCACCTCATGCTTTAGGAACTCTGAAGTCCCAGTCTGGATTCCTGGAGGATGAGAGACCATGTGGAGGAGAACCCAGGGGCCTCCATAAACAAGCAGCACAACCACCAGACATGCATTAGCTATCTTAGGTTCCCCAGACCAATCACACTGTCAGCAACTTTTGCTATAGGAGTGATCTCAGTGAAATCAGAGAAGAATGAGCAAGATTGGCCCTCAATATAAAAAAACTAAGTTGTGAACCACTACACGCGGGGCTACATTGTCCTGTAGACATAGAAAACATCAACAGTAGTAGAAGGAATTCTGCCTCCCTCTGTTTTCTTCAGGGAAGCTGCTCTCCACACCCATGTGCTGCCCCTTGCCAATCTCCAACCCTGAAGGATTCTGCGTATTTTTGACGCATAATAACTATTATTTCATAAGTTTGGATCATGGGATTCTACTGGTCTGTGCTAATAAAATGGTTCACATTGACAACAGTGTTAATAATAGCTGTCTCCTGAGAGGCAAAAAAAGCACAGCATTATGAACCCTCTGGTCCAAAAATCGAGATTTTTTAAAAAATAAAGTCAAGAAAAGAAATGTCATTGCTAGAAGACACATTGTCTGCTTTCTTGCCTCAGGCTCTGACTTCAGAGGTTTGCATAGTAATTGGCACAAATGAGGCATCAAGAAGGCAGTGTAGTTCCCACAACCCATTAGTAGTAACTTATCTAAAATTCCTTACAGAGTAAGGATTCTCCTTAACAAAGTGACCATCTCATGTAGGAGTATGTGGGAAGACAGCAACAAGCACACTGGAAATTTCTTCCCTCAGCTAGAGTATTGAAGAGTTCCCTCTCTCATTTGATCCATTCATTCACCTACTCATTTTATGCATATTTATTGAACGCCTACTCTGTGCCAAGTACCAAGTTAGATGCTGGACACTAGGAGGGAATGAGATACTCTCTGTCCTCAAAGATCTCAGTCTAGTGAGGGAGAGGGAATGTGACAGAGCAACATTAATAGATAAATGTATAGTAATAATCAATAGAGGAATTATAAAGCAATATAAAACAACAGAAACAAGACCCAAGGTACAAGTGTCTCATTTTGATCCATTTGATATTGGCTCTTTGACAAAATCAATACTTTGTTTCTGCTTAGCAGCCTGTAACCCTCAGGCTGATGTGGTAGGACCCCGCAATTCCCTGCACTATTTCCCAAACTCGTGTCAGACAAGCCCCAACACCTCAACATCTCCCCTCCACCTCTCTGGGGTGGACTCTCATCCTGCCGCTCCATCAGCTTCCTGAGGCTCCCTGATTAGGACCCTAGGTCTCAGATCCCCAGCCTGTAGAGGAAACCTCGGATTCCATATGGCGATGAGCGGGACATATCTGTCACCCCCTGACCCTTAGCACCAGATTAAGAAACTGCACATGAAATATTTGAGCTGGATAGGGCTTAGCGAGAGTCAAGTCCAACCTCTCATGAGGACACCGAGGCCGGGGGAGGTGGAGGCTTGACTCAGCATGCAGCTTCCCCTAACTGCTGCCTGCCCCTCCCTCAACAGCAAGGTTCCCAGAAGAAGCAGGAGTAGAATCCAGTTCTCTATCTCTCAGCTCAGGGGTCTTTTCGTGACACCAGGCTGCCCCTCGAATCTTCTGCTAAAGAGCCAGAGGAAGAATGAGAACAGAGCGGCAGTTGTTCAAAGAGGCTGACTTCAACACAACTCACTCCTTAGAGCTCTGGAGAGAGCCTGCCTGGGGAGCAGGGATCTTAACCAAATCAGCTATATGGTCAGAGAAACAGGTCCTCCCGAGAACGTGGGACACTGAGGCGTGGAAGATCTCGCCCACGCTTCTATGACCTCAACAGGATGCTCTCAGCAGCCTTACCTGAGCGACCAGGAGTCCCAGGTAAATAGCTGCCCTCTCACTCCAGAGAGACATGTCCCCTGAACGAATGTTTTCCTCTATCTTTATGGGCGATTCTTTATGGGGATTCATGAAATGGATGTTTCCCTCTTTGCTGGGACTGCTAGGAAGCACAGGACTTGCTGCCAAGCTCAGCAAGTGTACATGCCTTTATGGCTTATATTCTGAACACTAAAATGATTCTAAGCTTCAACTTAGCTTTCCACCCTTATTTTTTCTCTCCTTTACCCTTGTCTCCTCACCTATTTTTTTCTTGTTGTTTGGGCATATAGCGAGACTCACCCACATTATTTTTTTGAATGAATGAACAAGCTGAAAAGGCAAACAAGGTGATTTTACAAGGAGGCTGTAAAGAAAGTTCCAAGAGAGAAAATATGTACCATTTTCTTTGACTCAAGGGTAGAAAGGCCTATAAAACTGGGACGAGGAAGGGAAATTCCTATCAGCACAACACTTACATGGTCGGGAAGCATGGGCAGTATGGAAAATTCTTAACATTCGGGCCAGCACCGCACTAACTCAGCAAAACAGATCCTGCCCGAGTTGGTTGTAAGTAACAAGTCCAGCCACACTCGGCTACCAGCTACCATCACGTGTGACCTGCAGGCAGGAGACCCGCTTCTTTGTTCTCTCATTTCCAACCCCAGCTACCTGTGATCCTCAAGCAGGTTGGAGCTTCCTTTTCTTTCTTTTTTTTTAATAATAGTTTTAATGACATATAATTCACATACCACACAACTGACCCATTTCTCGGTCAATCTTTAAAAAACAAAAAATCAGATCATGTCATACTCCTGATCAAAACTGTCTACTCGTTCTTAGTCCAACTTATAAAATCCACATTATTTACCATTCCTCTAAAATGAATCCATGATCATGCTCAGCGAAATAAGCCAGAAAGAAAAAGAAAAATACCGGATGGTCTCACTCATAGCAGGAATCTAGAAAACTTAAATAAGGGACCAGGAAAATGAATAAGTGAAAATCAAAATCAACAACAAACTATGAACCAGAGACACTCTATGGGGGGTAGGAGGCGGGAGGGGAGGGATTGGGGTCAAAATAAGGGGGTTGCAATTGTATGGGGAATATAAAAATAAAATTTATTATTAAAAATAAATAAATAAATAAATAAAATGAATCCACGATTTACAGTCCTCCCAGCTCTGACCCGGTCTAGCTTCCAATAAACCAAAGCTCTTCAAGGAAAGCTGTCAGTGCCACCAAGCTCACGCCAAGGATGTGCTGGAGAAGGTCCCCGCCCATGGAAATTTTACAGAGTCTCTACGTCATTATCCCAGCCAACCTCAGCTTCCCTTCCCCAGCTTGCCACTTGTGACGTTAGGGCGTGATGGAACACCCGCTTCACAAGGGGATTCGATTTTATTATGGGGAACCTGATTAGATATTTCACTGCAGCCCAGAGGCCACTGTATCTCAAGGCAGATGCGCCCACTGTGCTAGGAGCACGCAGGGGCCCGATGCTGCCGACCTCCAGGAATCTGACCTGCGCCTGCGGCAGGCACAGTAAAACACAGACGAGGCACAAGCAGAGATTCCGACCTGGAGAAGGTGTTCCGGGCGTAGTGCATGATGCTGTCGAAGTCGTACGTCTCTCCCAGAGAACTCACTTCCCCAGCTTCCATTTTTAAGAAATTATACTCCTGACCTGTGACACAACACTCGGTTAAGGCCTTTGAAAACCAAGGCAGGCACCTGAAAGGAGGGGAGGGAGGAGAAGGGCCCATAGCAACTTCCAAGAGCTCTGCCCAGTCCATCCAGTAACAGGCCTTGAAGCCGTTCTTGTTTCTAACAGGTTGGAAATTTGAACCTCAGAACAAGTCCTGACTTCCCCCAACCCCGCTACCAGCACCCCTCCCCGAAGACCCCTGGAAAATCTTAAACTGAGTTTGCAGATTGGTTAGTTATTGATCTGGTTGCCTCCACCCGCCCCAAAATTCTGACTTTGCTGTTAACAGAAGAAAAGCAAACTGATGAATTCAGTCCCAAATATTCACAATTTAGACCCTCAAAACAAATTTCAAGGCATCCATATTACTCAATCAGCTATTGTTTAACATGAGAAGATATTTCTTTAAAAATCTAGACACTCCATTTGCCTTGGGGCTGATTTCTAGGCAGCAGTACTGTTTTCACATGTATTCCTGTCCTAATTATATTTCATTTCCAAAAAGATGTGTTGCTTAAGTCAGCAAAAATGACTCTTATGAGAGCTCCAGGAGAACGCTTTCTGGCTCATCAGCTCTGACGCTGCTACAATGCTGTGGTCCATTCTGTCCCTTTTAGGAAATGCAGTTGGACTTCTTGGTCCTTCACAACATGGAAAGCCCTTTGGCTTCTGGTCTAAACTACACGCTATGGCAGATGACCTGCCAGGAACGGCCTTGGTGGACAGTGGCAGTGCCCGTGACAACTGCCTGCACAACAGGGTCACCGCCTCCGGACTTAGCAGATGAGCCTGGGCTGGTGGCTCCCGGCAGCCTCTGTCCTTCACTCCCTCCTGACCCCATGGATGCCACTGCCTCGGTGCCACTGTCTTGTGGCTTCCAGACCCCACACAGGCTCCTTACCTGGCTGGATGTTTTCTCTGATGATGGTGACATGTTGATCTCTGTCTGGTCGGGTATGTTCATGCCAGAACCCAACCACGTGGCCCAGCTCATGTGCCACAATCCCAAACTTGTCACAGTTTTTCCCAATGGATATGGCCTGCGGGCCTCCTCCTCGGCGGCCAACATATGAACAACAGCTGGACAATAGCAGAAATACCTGAGTCAGATGGGCAGGGGATAGCTAGAGTCTAATGCCCCTCCCCCAACACACAGGGGTGTGTGTGGAGTGTGCTTGAGTGTGTGTGTCTGGTTCTAAAAGAAACACAGACTCTCTTTGCTTAAAGTACTCTCACTGTCTAACTTCCCTCTCATCTCAATACAGAAGTTCCCTCCAAAAATAATTTTTGATCTTACCGGTAGTTAATGGTCACACTTTCAAGAAAGATAGGGCCTCTCTTCCTAGCATAGAGCCCACACACCTACTCTACCCTTCTGCCAGTCTGCTCTCTGGGGGCCAACTCGGATGACAAGGAAAAGAGGCAGGGAATGGAGACGAGTGTTTTCATAGAGTGAGTCTTGGGGCTATTATCAGAGCCATAGAGATGATTCCCCCAACAAGGTATAATGATCTTTCCAAGTAATGGTTATTCATTATTCCTGACACAGAAAGGTATGAGAAATGAAATTAAGATGGCCCACAACCCCACCACTCGCATTTCTTACATAAAACATTGAAAAAATACATACTCATGTCACAAAAGATTTAAATATTAAGTCACCTCTACCTCCTTGTTCCTGCCAATATTTGTCATGTTTATTTTTTCATCTAATGATCTCAGCATTTCCAAAAACAAATGTTAAATAATTGCTCAATCATGAGCATTATTGGCTTGTTCCTGATTTTAACAGAAATTCTTTTAGGATTATCATTAATAAATACAATGTGGACTTCCTGGCTGAATACACATATTTACATACATATAATGACATAGTAATATATGTTTATTTTTTGAAAGTCAGGGATCTGTCCTTGACATCTCTTCTTGTGCACCTTGGTTAGTTTTGCAAACAGCACAAAAAATGCCTGTATCGTGCAGAGGCCTTTTTTAGCATTTATTGAAATATGAATATGGCTTCTCTCCCTTGACCTATCAACATATGTTGAATCATGGGCATAGACTTCCTAACGTTGAATTAGTATAACATTTTCACGGTAGATTGCCTTTCTGTTCTTGTACTGCAGAACTCCATGTGCTAACCTTTTGTTTAGGGTTTTGCATGAATATACAAAAGTTAGATGAGTCCATAATTTTCTCTTTTTGGTGCCATCTTTGTCATTTTGGGGTGAAAAAAATGCCATGATAGTTCCTTAAAAGTACTTTGGAAGGAATTTTTCTATGCTTTCGAAAACTTAAATAGTGCCAGAAAAATCTGGCACTATAAAGGTTTAAAAGAATTCACCTGTGAATTAATTTGGTATTTGGGGGAGATAGTGTTTCCCCTCAATTTTTCAGTTTCTTTCGAAGGCACTGGTCTATTCCAGCACTCCGTATTTGTGAAGTCATTCACATTACCCAGACAGCCACATTTCTTGCCTCGAGTTTTGAAAAGCACTCTCTTATACTTCCGCGGAAATTGTACCTCTCTCACTCTCTTCATTTCAGATTTTATGTACTTCTGCACTGTCATTTTTTTTTTTTTTTTTTTTGGTCTTAGACTAACAAGGAGTTTATCTACTGGTTTTTTTTTTTTTCCCCAAGAATACAATCTTGAATTTATCAGTCCTATAATGTGTTACCTTGTCTATATCATGTGCTCTTATTTGGTTTCTTTTGTTGTATGGTCGTTTTTATGTATCTGTTTTGTTAACATCTTTGAGTTGAATAATGCATTCTCATTTTTAATTAGGGATGTGGATACTTGAGGCCAGGCCTTTTCCTCTGGAGAGCTTTAGCCACATATCTTTTTTTTTTTTTTTAAGATTTATTTATTTAAACAAGAACCGGGGTATAGGCCAGATGTGCGGGAGGTTGAGGTTGCGAACTCACCAGAGACAGAGTAGGGAACAGAACAGGCAGACTGATGAAATGCACTGCTGAGGGGAGCAGCGGATGAGACAGGAGAGGTCTGCCGCGCCATGTGGGCATCTCCACGGCCAGCAGGGATCGAACCGGCTCTGCAGAGGCTGCGGACAGCTTCACAGTGCTGCGCTCAACCGTCTGCACCACCAGGGAGGCCCAGCCCCATATCTTTAATTTCAAACTGTAGACCTTTCATTATTGCAACAATTTGTAATTTTGCCTCATTTCCTATGACCTAAGAATTGTAAAATGGGGAGCTTTTAACTTGTCAGATAATAGAGTGGTGTTAAGTGCATTTTTTTGTTGTTATGGGATTATGTCTAGTTTCACTACTTTGCAATCACAGAATATTTAATACTAGTTCTGCCACTTTGAATTCATTGAGGTGTTTTAATATTTAATAGGTAATAGGTAGTCAAGTTCTATAAACTTTCAATAGGCACTTTAAAAAAATGATATTTTATCAGACTGTAGAATCTGAGAGACCCATAGAACCAACTCCACAAATCTCTACTCTTATTTTGGTCAACTTGACATTGATCTACTTCCATTGACAGAAATGAAACAAAATGTCCTGTTGCTAGTGTTTGCTTGAATTTCCTGGGGCTTGTTTTATGACTGTAAATGTTATGCTATTTGGTGCATGAGGATTTATGACAGTTATATTCTCAGAGTAGCTTGTCCCCTTTCTTCCCTTTCTCATTACAAAGTATCTCACCTTTTCTTTTTTTTTCTTTTAACACTTTCTGACTTTAAAAACAAAACAGCAAAACAAACAAACAAAAACCCTTGATAATAACTGAAATTGTAACCCCAGCTTTCTTTTGTTACGTTGGCCTGTATGCCCCTTTCCTTTTACTTTTAAACCTTTCTGGGTCATTTTCTTTAGTGATTTCATGTATACAGCATGTAGTTGGGTTTTTGAACCAACATAGGAGGTTTCTCTTTCAGTAGAGAGTATATCACAGTAGCAGAGAATATCACACTTACAATTTATTGGAGTAAAAATTTAGTCATAATCCAGTCATGTTATTCTTTGTTATGTTTTCTGCAGGAAGTCAGTAAATCTATAAAATTGCATGCAGGATTTTGCATATATGTACATCCATCATGAGCAAGCTTATAGTTTCATCAGATTATAAATGGGGCCACTTACCCCAAATTGGTTCAGAAGTACTTCTCCACATGGAGTCTTTCCCATGACCCACCTGCTTTGTCACTGAGCCCAAGGGGAATTTCTGACAAACCCTGTTTGCCTATATTATCGCAGGCCATTACAAATACGTGGTTCTATAGAGAAAATTCTAGACTCACAAGACATCTGATCTGTCTGTCTTTGATTCCACTGATGTGGCCTTGCTCTCACTTACCCACAAGTCCTGTAACTGAACACAATAAAGCTTTCTTCATCAGTTCTCTCTATGAAGGTCACACAGGTGTGCTTCTCCCAGTGCCTCATGGCCTGCTTAAAGATGGCCCTCTGGGACCCTGAAACCACAGAACAGGTGCTTATTACCTCACTCAGGGGTCCTTGCCTTCCTTAAATGCTTTCAAGTGTGCTGGCTTATGACAAAACTTATTCTGATGATCAAAAAATTCTTGTTCTGACCCAGAAATGAAAGGCACCAAGAATAAGGATTTTCCCTTGCTAAGAAGAAACATAGCTCTTCTGAATTACCAAACCTAGGGAGTGGGGATGTCTGAGCTGGAAAAGAAGGTAAAAATAGTTTTTCAGTATGTCCAACTTCTGCTTTGTATTAAAAGTAATCTAAACTTTTAAAAAGTTCCACCCAGGTTATCCAATTTGGAAGTTTTAGGTCTTTGAAGGAACCCACCAGCACCGCATTCCATGCCTTCACCTTATTTATACCTATGGGAAGTAACCTCATGTGCTCTAAAAATTCTGTCTTCATGCACATCCATGCTACTTTACCATGGGGGGGCAGTGTTTTCTGGGGATATCCTTGAGCCTAATTTTACATAAGGCCTTTGAAAACAGGTGAATTTCATACTTTATCTGAGCCTTTTGTCATATTTTCTTGATTAGAAATCTGTTGAATAATAAAACAAAAAGTAAATTGTATAGGAACAAAAATAAAGTTGCAAATTCAGGCCAATAATTACAGATAATCAATAAGTATTCATTTCAAGATCTATCAACATGAGATAAAGAAGACAATTTTGATGTTGCTAGAAGTGAAAAGAAGAACCTAAGAAATCATTGTTTGAGAAACACAAAGAATAGTTGGGGATGAAGGCGGTTCTAGAGTCCCTTGGTTGCAAAACGAACCCACCAGTGACTGGGGAGGGTCCCATCACAGTAGAGGAGATGTGGGTATGATTCACACTTTGTCTCCAAAAACACACAGTCAGAATAAAGAGTAACTTAGCTGTCCATTTATTTTTACATCTTGACACTTTTAGTTCAAGTTGTTTAGAGCTCAATCACTCACCAAAAATAGTAATCCTACAAATTACAGAGAAAAGCATAGAAGATCTTGAAGAACATGGTTAAGATTCCAAAGAACAAAAGTCGGCAGCTGTTTGAGCACACTTCTTCCTCTCCAACTAGGACCGGAGCTCCCTGAGGGTAGGAAGGAGTCTTTCTCGTCTTTTTATCACCAATTAAGTATCTGAGCCCTGAGTTACTGCCATAGGAGTGCAAGGGAGCTGACTGCACAAATGCCTCGGGGAGGGAGTAAGCGGGTAGCCGGGAGATGCCTCAGCCTCTCTTCCAGCATCCAGGTCCCTGCTTCCAGGTCCTCAGTGTTCCTTTACTAACTTATTCATCAGTGGTTTGGGGAGACTTTGGCCAATTGTCAGGGTTTCTGCTTCATCGACCACCTCGCATGGGAAAGGCCGCAGAGCTACGGAAAGGAGATGGACGCGTCAATGCAGACTGACAGCCAGCAAAGGTAGCTCAGTGTGGCTTTTCACTCAGGCACTCGACTGCTTCGGGCATGATTCTTGTGTGCCCATCGCAAGGCTGTGTTCTAAGTGTTGCAGATCGAGGAATGAAAACAAAGGAGGAAAAACAACCTGGGCTCCCACAGCACTTGGATGGAGGCAAAAAAAAAAAAAAAAAAAAGGAACAAAAATACTAGTAAAATCATTTCAGGTGATGGGAAGCACAGAGGGAGCCAGGAGAGAGGAGCTGGAAGGATAGTGGGAGTCACTCCGTGTGATCTGAGGCTCCAGTCAAGCAAAGATCTAGGAGAGAACATTCTGGGCAGATAGAAGGGGAAATGCCAGTGTGTTAAGGGGCCATGAAGTGAGCATGTTCCAGATGAGTGGCGAGGCCAGTACCGGAAGGACCAGGAGGAGTGAGAGGTAAAAGACTGGGTTCACTTATAGCAGGAATATAGGGGATCCCAATAAGACATGAGTGTAAAAAAATAATAACGGTGCAAAACACAACAAAGCAAAAATGGACAATTATAAATCAGAGACATCCTGCAGGGGAGGAGGAGGGAGAGGGATAAGAGGGAGGGAGGGAGGAGCAGAGGGGCCTGAGGTGATGGTGCACGGGTACTTTGGGGAAGGAAACTCTATGGGGACAGCACCTGAGGGGGTGGGGGAAGAAAACATTGTTTAAAAACGAACAGTGTAAAAAATTTTTAAAAAAATTTTAATAAAATAAATAAATAAAAATTAAGTGCAAAAAAAAAAAAAAAAGACTAAGGGGAGGGGGTTAAGGGCCTCTGGCAGAGGGCTTCAGAGGCTGCAGTCAGGGATTCCCATTCGTTAGTGGCAATGGAAGCCGCTGAATGACTTAGATATTTTAAAGTTACTACTAATAGCAAATAATATCTAATTCCTGCAAGCCAGGCACTGTTTTAAGAGCTTTATCCAAATTAATTCATTACATTCTCAATTCAACCCTGTGGGGTAGAAAATAGCGTTCCTGTTTACAGAAGAGTGAATGAAGGCACAGAGAGGTTTAGTGGCTAGCCCCAGGGGGAATTGCTGGTTAGCTCCGGAGCCAGGAGTAGGCCAGGTGGTCCATCTGCTTACTGTGTGGCTGAAGGTAGAGGGTGGTCCAGGGTGGTCCCTACATCCATGCAAAGTCAGACAAGCTACCATGTGTAACTGTTCATACTCCGCCTTCTGCCTGGAGGCCTTTGCTCAAATACCCACTGTGCAAACCTTGTCCAGCCTTCAAAACCACGGTCATATGCTACCCCTTGCATGAAGCCTTGGGGACTAGGTGACCCCCTCTGAGGAGGTGATCCCAACAGACTGCATTACCGTGCATCTTTTGCACTGGATGCTGTAGGGACAAGGGGTATTAGCGGGTAGAAATGCAGTGCCCCCAGCCTTTGCTCACTCCCACCCCCCAGTCATCTCTGGGAGGACTCTGCCAGCCTAGGGAGACAAAGCACTCACCCCCCAAACAGACCTCATCTGGGGCTACTGACCAGTGAAGTTTCCTCCAATAACGTAGGGGATAACCCCTCCCGGCCATATTCGCTCTGTCCTTGAGGTTGTGGCTCTTCGGACCCGGGGAGAAGCAGTCTCTGCTCTGGCATTCAAGGTCCCGGAACTCTGCAGAAGCTTGGCATCCTGCTTGCCATCTGTAAAACAACCATGCTGCCAATTACTTTGCCTTTGCAGTTCCTCCAGTACATTATGGTTGAGTACATTATCCGTGAGTTCACAAAATGGGATGTTAGAAAATATGTACCAATGGGGGCCACAGGTCTGTTTGGGGTTTGGAACCCTGGGAGGTAGTTTTCTGGATGGGACAAGAACAAGAGCACCAGGCCTCTGATGGGAGTTGTCTGAATTCTGGTGGCCTTGGTCGAGGCTCTGTGGGGCTCCAGGTAGCCTGTTGGCCCTGAGTCCAGGGTGCTCAGAACAGCTCTCAGCCTCTTGGGATGGAGTCAAGCTCTCCTCTCTGAGCCATGAGAGCTGAGTCAACCCCCAACTTGATTAAATGCCATCAATGTTGCAAATATAGGGAATAATTTGGTCAGGTGACAAGTAAAGAGAAAAGGTCTGTAGCGCTGAGAAAATACAGGGTTTTTTGTAAATTAAACTCCTGGAAAAAGCAGTCTCATTACCCCGCCCCCTATCTCCCCTCCCAGCCCCCCACAGCTCTTCCCAGTCTCTCAGCACATCTGGACCTTAAGAGAGAATGTGTGAAACAAATGGTAGGCTGGAGTTAATATTCTGAGTTTGTTATGACCCCTAGAAATAGCAAAAATAGACCCCATGGAATTGAATCTCTTAAACCTGCAGCCCTAAGTAAGTGAATCTACATACACTTTATTCATCGTTCTGACACTTAAGGTTTTGTGTTCAATCTACTTGCTTAGAATTCCTCACCATCCTTACTTGGAGCATTTTCTCCTTCGTTTGTATATTTTTGCCCTAAAGATCAACTTTAGGTTTTGTTGATTCTTTTCATTTTTCTTTATTTCATTCATTTTATTTATTTTGTTACTTCCTTATGATTTATTTTATTCTCAGATTTCCTTTCTAGCTTCTTTGCTCCTTTTTAAAAAGCTAAGATATAATTCATACACCATTATAGCCACCCTTGTAAAATGTGCAATTTAGTGGTTTTTATATGCTCACAGAGTTGTGCAACCATCACCACTTACAGAATTCCAGAACATTTTCATCACCCCCAAAAGAAACTCTGCATCCATTAGCCGTCTCCCGCTCCCAGTTCTAGAGAACCAATAATCTACCTTTTGTTTCTATGAATTTGCCTCACAGTGGACATTTCACAGTAAATGGAATTGTGCTTTATGCCTGGCTTCTTTCACTTAGCATGTTTGCACTTAGTATTTAATCAGTACTTCATGTTAGGGATAAATAATATTTCATTATATGAATAAACCACATTTTGCTTATTCATTTCTCAGTTATTGATCATTTTGGTTGTTTATATATACATGAGCGCAAATTTTCATGTAGACATGTTTCCAATTCTTGCTGGGACTTCGAGTAACTGTGTATTTAACTTGTTGAGGAACTACCAAATTATTTTCCAAAGAAGCTACACCATTTTACATTTCCACCAGCAATTCATTAGGGTTCCAATGTTTCCACATCTTCAACAACACTTGTTATTGTCAATCTTTTTGATTATAACCTTCCCAATGGGTGTAAAGTAGCATGTTGTTGTGCTCTTATTTGTATTTTCCAAATAACCAATCATGTTTCCCATGATTATTAGTCACTTGCATATCTTCTTTCAAGAAATGTCAATCAAATCCTTTGTCCATTTTTTATTTTGTCTCTTTATTGAGTTGCAATTATTTTTATACATATATAAGTATTTATATATATTTTATATATACATATATTCTATATATATATATTTGGATACCAGGATAAACACACTTATTACTTCTAAGAGTTCTTTCTTTGTTGTATATTCCTGTAGATCTTCCATGTGAATAAATATGTCATTTGTAAATAGGAAATTTTTCTTCTGTAATTTGAAGCTTTTGTTTATTTGTTCTTGCCTCATTCAAATTATTCTCTTGGCTCTTTCATCATTTATGTATACTTAGTTAATCTCCTTGAGACTGTCCTAATAGTTCTATACCTCAAGGCACTAATTCTCCACTTTATTTTCTCTGCTGATTCTCCTCTATGGGTTAAATTTTTGTTTTTCTATTTTGTGTTCTAATTATAGATTCATTTGTAGGGGAGGGTATTCCTGTCTTTAAGAGTCCCATAAGACTTCAACTATGAGTGTGACCCTGCTTTTCACTTTTTCAGGGCTCTTGGGATTTTGTGAGTCCTAGATCAATTTTTATGTTAATTTCTAAGTTTAAGGTTTCCATATACAGGAAATGTAATTTGAGAACTTATATCTGTATGCAAAAGAGAATTTGGGATTCAGTTTTTTGCAGACATTTTTTTTACCCCCAATTACAACCTAGTAAGGAAATTGACATTCCTTGTCACTCCTTGAAGCCAATGAGTAGAGATTTTCTAGTTGTTTTTTATTAATGTGTAGGAAGCCCTTTGAGGGTATTCATTTTATGCAAGATATTATTCTTCATTCCCTGCCTCACAAGACCACATCTCCTGCACCTGTATAGTCATGACATGGGCATTGAACACCAGTGCCGAGCCCCTCACATCCTGGTCCAGTTTCAATGCCCTCTACACAGTTTCCCCACCCTTTACGGTTAGTTCTATGGGTTTATGTTTCCTTTTTTTTATTTTCCTGATGATGGAAATTTCCTTTTTTTCCCTTTGAGTTTAACATTATTTTTAACGTGGGGTTTGAGGGAAGGGTAATTTTTTTTTCAGCAGTTCTATGTTTTTATAAAAGTGCCAGAGGTCATATTGCCAGAACCGGAAAGATAGGGAGTAACACATTTTTAAACCTGAAAATAACTGTTTTACTGGTAGAATTTCTAGATCAGAAGTCATACACTTGCAACTCTTGGAATAAACCCAACCCACAGATGTGTTTTGTTTGGCCTGGACACTTCTGGCCCATAGTATTTGTTTTATTATTTTTTTTTAATCTCACTTTAGGAGCCAACTTTTAAGAATCAAGAGATTGCACATAGGAATCCAGATCTTTGAATTTTTCTTTAAAAAATGAAAAGATCTGGCAAGATTAGGCCCATTTTCAGTCACTGGCAACCCACTGAAGTTAAGTAGCACCTGCTCCCCACAGTCAGGGCTCCTGTATTCCCAGCTGTTGGGCTCTCTCTCATTTTACATTGTCCCATTCAGCCACTGAGTGGTACCTGTTTGGCCTCTACAGATACTGTCACTCACTCCCTGAACCCTCAACTTCATGTTGCCTCCAGATTTCCAGTGTGAGTTGCTGCAGTGGACTGAAAGCTCCATGGAGGCAGGAACGGTGGCTGGTTATACTGACATCCTGCACGGTGCCCCGGCTGGAGGTTAGCATTCAGTGCTTTTGTATTCTGAATTTATTTATTAAAGATTGGATGAGTTATTCTAAAAATAAACAACTCAACAGTCCAAACAATTTTGCGGCGGAAACTTCTCCAAAATGTTGGCAGCCCTGAAGCCCTTAATGTTTAAATCCTGAGAATCATCACGTCTTAAGTAATCACAGGCAGCGGTGTAGCAAGTGGAAGTTTGTTATTCATTTCCCATATGGTTTTCAACAAGTCTCTTAATTTTCTTCCGCTGCCAACTCTTCTTTGGAGAACAGGCTACAATACTTCCCTATTAGTGGGACTAGCACTGAGACACATGTGTCCCTCAAACAAGCTGTGCTCTACACACAAGTGACCCGGTCTTGTTAGGGCCAGGATGCAGCCGCGTCAGCATGGGAAAATCTTAAGTGCACCTGGAAAGAGACTGGGGTGTAATTTCCAGAGATGGGTTATTGAATGACAGCTTCCCCCTCGGTCCAGTGAGAAATTTAATTTGCTGAGGACTCAACACAGGAAGCATTTGCCGATTAAAAATATGTCTAAACAGATGTTCTGCTTAGCCTGGAAGAAGGATCTTAATGCAACCGTCATTATTGGATTTTCTTGGATTACTACTATCTGGAATCAGAGTCCAAATAGAAGGATGTAATTATTTATTATGGCCAGGAGTTCTGCATTTGAAGAGGAGCTCAGGGCATCTGAAAGGATTTAACACACTGGGGGTGGGGTGGGGTGAAGATAAAGTCCATTTAAATTTGCTGGCCCTAGGAGTGTTCCCTGTCCTCTTTGAAAAAGCAGAGCAACTGTAGTTATACAAGGTTCCATTTCCAGCTGAAGGCGCAGCTATGTCATAAACAGAACCAGTCCCGACCCAGACTTCGGGGGCAAGGAACAGTGAATTTTCAATTAGTTAACTGGTCACTCCCACTAACTTAGGGAAATGAGCACCCCTTGCCATCTGTGTAGCCCTCACCCCACAGGTGACGACAACCCACTGCCTGTGGCAGTCCTCAAAGACTAACAAACAGCCCTGAGTGGAAGAGGGGACTGGGCCTATACTACACCATGGTTCTCAAACCTGGCTGCACATTTGATTCAACTGGGGAGCTTTCATAAACTTCTGTTGTCCGTCTCCTGTCCTGAGACTGTGACTTGGTTAATCTAGAGTAGAGTCAAGGCACCTGTAGTTTCTAGAGCTCCCCAGGTGATTCGAAAGGTCAGAGAAGTTTGAGATTCACTGGTTAGCCCAGAGGGCAAGAGGGTGGGAGCGAGAGGCTGAGCTGCCACATAAACACTGCCATATATTCGCTGATCATGTGACTGTGGACAAGTCACCTACTCCTTGAGATTTCCTTCTTTCTGCATGTGGTTCTGTGTATGTTCTCAGCCAGATGGACGCCAAACACCTGCCCTGTGGGGGCTCCACGCAAGCTGCAGGGATCGCTATCAAGGTCATGCTTGGAGACAGGCTGGAAAGAGCATCTGGGTTAAGCTCAGTTCACACCAAATGCAAACACTTAAGTGGCTTTCAGGGGTTCAGGTGCTGAGTGGTTTTTGCACCCAAGTTTATGGGATGCCCTCTCTCTATGGCAACCAGATTCCATTATTATTTGCTCAACACAAAATCCTCAGGCACTGTTACTGAAAGTAAAAGGGCTTCTTTTATGACCATGGTTCTGGAAATCAGGCTTTATCACAACTGTTCTGGAGCACCTGTACTCTGCATTTCATTAACCCCACTATCATCCCTGATGTGCACTCTCAGCCTCCATCTCCAGGGAGGGAGGCTCCTCGGACAGAAAGGTCTGCAGGGGGATATTGAGTGAGCAATTCTCCAAGCCCCTAAAGCTGGAAGCATACATCCTCACCGTCAGGGCTGAGGGGAGCCACCTAATCCCAGGAAATAACCCTGCTGCTGAAGCCAGTGGTGGGAGCTGCCCTCAGATCCTTTCCTGCATGGGCGCTCTCTCTCTCTCTGGGGATGGCAGAGGGGGGCATGTCATGATTAAAGGAGAGTCTGAGATTGACACAACTTGTCTTATCTTTAATTCCACCAAAAACAAGAGGCGCCCAGGCTGGTGGCTGACTGTCCCAGAGGGATGGAATCGGGAGGCTGAAGGAAGGAGCTAGAACAGCCCAGCTCTCACTTCACCTTTGGCACATCCTGCTTCCCCAGGCTTGCCTGGGTACCCACAGACATGCTTGTCTGCACTGTAATACAAAGTGGAGGGATTGGCCCAATCCTGCCATTATCCTCACACAAATTAGGGTCATCTGAGGGGCTGGAGGCTATGGATTAGCCAGCTCCAGAGTTGTGGTGCATGTTGGGGGTGTGCTGTCGTTATCTTATTTTAAAATGCCCAAGGAGATTTTTCGCCACCTTGTGGGTACAATGCACAGCCCGGTCATCCAGGGGCAGAATTTTGTTGGGCTCCAGCAGCCTTGTACCTTCCTGTCCTGCTCAGTTGTGTTTCTATGCAGCTGTTGAATAATTGTGGGATCCTAGTCCAGCGGTGGATGGTAAACTTTCAATGCTAGATAATATAACTCACAGATAGAGGGGGAAAGGAAGGCATGGAAGAGCAACATTCACTGAGCACTTTTCACATTCCAGACACCTGCCTATGTACTTTGCACACATATTATTTCTAAGACTCTGCAATCCTCATATGAGGAATTGGATAACTTATGCAATATCGTAGTTACTAAGTGGGTGAGATGGGATTCCAACCGTGTGTCTAACTATCCAAGTTTATTTGGCTGAGACATTTTTACACCCAAAAAATTAGTAAATGTTAAAAATCCTGACAGTGTTGGCTACCAGTGAGCAGGTAAACCGCAATGAGGAAAGTGGATAGTCTTCAAATACGACACCAGCAAGTCCTCTCATATACACGAGCTCAACCACTTCTCACATTAAAGGGGAGAATCTATATACTTCTCTTTGAAACTGGGCTGGTCTTTTGGCCTGTTTGTACCAATAGGGTGTGTCAGAAGCAGCACTCGGAGTTCTGAGTCCAGGCCTTATGTGGACGAATGAGTGGAGTGAACGATCCCAGCTGACAACAGCAGAAGAACCATCTGACTGAACCCAGTCAACCACAGAAGCTTCATGATAACTAAGTTTGGGCATGGTTTTTAGGCAACAATAAGTGACTGAAGTCGGGAAGGAGAGATTAGGTGTGGCATTTACATCACGGCAGTGTGACATGACAGCAACACTCATCTATTTTAATCCCTACACCAAATGATTACCACAAAGTGCTGATGACTTGTGGCCAAAGTGAAATGCCATTGTGTTTACCAAATGTCTGGGGATCTTGAAAACACATGAGTCAAAACCCCATCAAATAAGCAAAGTAGAAAACGACGGATTTTAAAGGGGGCTCTGCACATTGTCCCAGCAATGTGACAGATGCATGTACGTTTGTATGTGTGTCTGTGCTCATCCCTATAGAAGTGCATGTGTGAATACATGTGTATGGACAAAACATGGCAGGGTGCAAAATTATTAGTATACACTACCTGGGGAGGGGTAGAGGGATGACATATGAAAAAAGAAGTGAAGGAGGTGGCCAAATTAAAGGAAAGAAGGAAAAAGAAAAGCAAAAGGGCCACACTAAAAAAAAGTACATGATGCATTTGTATGGAATATACATATATGCATATGTAAAACAGACATTAATATTAAAGCAAAAACATAAAGCAATCAGTGATTTCTATATCATCTCTATCTAGGGCATCCTTGAAATGTAGGATTCTGGTATTTAAAAATGATAACCTTTTGCTGTGTTAGTTTTATGTAGAAGAAATAACACTGATGGAATAACATTAAAGAAGGGTCTTGAGCCGCGGGGTGCAGGCCACACAGAAGCCCAGCAGCCTCTCTCCTCTAGCATAACTTCCAAACAGGAACAGTTTCTCCAAAAGTGAGAGGTGTCCAGTGAGATGCCATCCCATATTCTCCAGGCTAGACAGCCTTATAACTGAGAGCAGCCCTGGAACGGGACAGGCCGAGCTGGAGCAGGCACTGCAGATAAGGCAGCCAGCCCTGCCCGTGGCCAGCCCCAAGCTCAGTGGCCTCTCCCTGCTGCAGCCCAGGGGTCCCTAGTCAGCCCTTCCTTCTCCAGCCTCATGCAGCCTTCTTTCCCTTCTTTACCCACACGTGCTCACACTCTTTCCGACACCTAAGCCTCATCACCCCCCTTCAAAAGCCTCAGGGACTTCGACTCACAAGTCAAGTGCTAGAGAGAAAAGTCAAGTCTCGATCACAGAGTGAACCGAAGGAGCATGGTCCCTGAGCAACCAAGCGCTGCTCTTCTATCCCTTCTCTGGCAGCAGGCCCACTCCGCTGACAAAAGAGCACACTCTTTCATGCCCACAGACTGCAAAGCGCCAGCCTGCTAAGAAAGACAGTCAAAGACACAAGAGGAGACCCCCAAAGTCAGGAAAGGGGGAACTGGAATTACTGCTTCCTGGGTATGGGGTCTATTTTGGGGGTGATGATCTGGAAATAGATCATGGTAAAGGTTGCACAACATTGTGGATGTACTTAATACCACTAAATTGCACACATTAAAATGCATTAAAATGGCAACTGTTATGTTATTTGAAATCTGCTACAGTTAAAATGTACAGAGTACCCAAGGAGCTGATGGTCCTCATATTACCCTCTCTGGCTTCCTGGCTGCTGGTGTTCGTGACAGTGACGTTCGGCCAGCTCTCAAATGGCTGCTCTTCAAGCCCACCTACAGAGACAAGAAGAGAAGAAATGTGAGGAATCATCAGCCCTCCCTGCACCCCAAGAAATGCCAAAACCACCAGCGCGTCAGTGAAGATTCATTCAACAAAGGTTGTCAGCACCAACCAGGTGCTGTTTTAGACACGGGGGTAAAAAGGAACCTGCTTTTTGATAACCACACACAAAATTCACAACTATCAAAGTATTGCATTCCTTGATTAGTCCAAGAGCATTTGGAATCAAGTACGCAAAGTTAACAGGCAAAACCCAAAGCCAATGCTGAAATCAGCTTCCTCACTCCCACCTCCAAAAGAAAGCCCAAGGCAAACAGACCCGCACACGTCTGGTTGTGGGATCCCCCTACCGGGGTGTGGAATGCAGGGCATGGCATCCATGCTGCTCCTGAACGTGTGATGAGCTCAGTGACTGCGGCCTGGGCTTCCACAGGTGTCTGGTTTCCTTTTGGGGTGAGGCTCCTTTAAGAAACTATTCTGTTGGGGCCTCCCTGGTGGCACAGGGGTTAAGACACAACCTATGAGGCAATCCACAGCCACTGCAGCACGAGTTCGATCCCCGGCCAGGAAGCAACCCACACGGTGCAGCAGACCTCTCCTGACTCGCCCGCTGCTCCTCTTAGCAGTGTACTTCAGTCAATCTGCCTGTTCTGTTCCCCACTCTATCTCTGGTGAATCCTCTCACCTCCCCCACCTCTGGCCTGTACCCCAGCTCTTGTATGCATAAATAAATAAATCTTAAAAAAAAAAAAGAAACTATTTTGTTTACTTTATAAATCATACCTGTAGACACTGCCTCAGTCAAGGACATTGATGCTGTATTTGTTAGTAGTCATCATCTATAAGCCAGGTTGACATCCACCCCCACCAGGAGCATGGTCAAGCACTGACTATGATTACAGCTACTATGAGCCAAGCGTGGTTCCAGGCACTGGGATCCAGAGGTGAACAAGAGAGGTGGGTGTGTACATTCTAAATGGGTGGCTGCCCAGCAAACAGTAGATAAGAAAATAAGGGAACAGGATTATTGCAAGTTCAGAAAATGTTCTGAAGATCAAATTCAGCATATGGTAGCAGCTGCGCAGAAGGTGGTCAAAGAAGAACCTCTGGAAGATGACATCAGGTATTGAGATTTGAAAGACAAGAAGGAGCCAGTCACTCAAAGATCTGGGCCACAGCAGCACATCCCCAGCTGAAGGCAGAGAGGAGAAAGAACCTGGACCAGAATGAACTTGCCACATGGAGGGGCTGACTACGGTGGGCGCATGGGTGTGGGTGCAAGGCCAGAGAGGCTGGATATGTAGGATCTGAGGGATGAAGTTGATGGCAGGGCAGGCTGATGGATTGGTATGAGAGAAGGGCCACCAAGGACACCTGCATTTGGAGTTTGATCAAACGGGTGGACAGTGACACTAAGGAACAGATTTGAGAACAATGTCTGTGTCCAGGATACACTATTATACATATGAACCCAAATTAAAGCAACTAAAGGAAAATCTATTGACTAATGCAGTTATTTCTTATTTAGAAATTTGCAGCTTACACTCCCATATCCCCTTCTTCCCTGATGAGAACATTCTGGTAGACAGTATGTAAGCCCATTTCACAGAGGACAGAATAATAATAATTAGCCCAGGCTTGCCCAGCCCAGAGTAAAAGCTGAGGGCCTGGGACAGTCTCCTAGGCAGAAGCCCAGGGATCTCTTCCATTCCCCACAGCACACCGGCCTCCAGAGCTGCCTGACTGAGCATCCCAAGCAGGGAACCCCAAGTCCTGGCCCCAGACAACCACAGGAGACAGCCCTGTGGTCCTGCATCCCAGCTCCTGACACACAGGCTACCTCTTTCCTACAGAGGCTGCGACGCTGGCCGTGGCCCAGGCGTGCGCTGATATTTTTGTCTGCCTCCATCCTGTTCATCCTGCTGCCTTTCTGGCCAACTCAGAATCCACTCACACACTCCCTGCAGCTGCCGGGGCGTTTGCTGCCAGCTCCCAGCCCTCTGGGTATTCTTCCAGTTGCGATATCATTTCCTCTCAGGCTAAAGGTCAGGGGAAATCCTGATGGTATGAAAATTGCTGGCCAGCAGAGGAATGTGCCATGTGTGGAGAGATGAGCCTGAAACTAAGGCCTGGGACTAGCTTAGTTTTTCCTCGGCTATAGCACAGTGGATAAGACCTGAGGGGTCAGTACTTCTCATCTGTCAAATGGGCTGTTGCAAGGACCAAATGAGGTAATGGGTTTGTTTAGGCACTCACTCATTCAACAAATATTTATCCGGCACCTGCTACATGCCAGATGCTGTTTCTGCTGCTTGGGATACGACACTGAACAAACTCTACCCTGACCTCATGGAAATTATATTCTGACGGTGGATAGGAGAGAAAACGATAAACAAATAGGCAACTAAATATGCAAGTCGGTTGTTAAGAAGGGCTATGAAGAAAATTAATGAGGGTGAAGGGAACAGGAAATGTTAGGGATGAGGGACTCTGTAGCATGTGAAGTAGAAAATCAGAAACCTGAAGAAAGTGAGGGAGAGAGTCTGCAGATGTCTGAGGAAGAACATCCCAAACTGAGGAAACAGCAGGTGCAAAGGCCCTGGGGTGGGAGTATGCTTGGCAGTAAGGAGGTGGGTAAGCCTGGAATGGCATAAGCAAGGAAAAGAGAAAGTGATAAGGCAACGAGGTCAGTGGGCAGTAGAAGGTCTACAGGATCAGCTTCTGTGAGGCCTTGCAGGCAATTTTCAGCATTTCAGCTTTTATTCTGATAGATCTAGATGGGAAACAGAAGACATGAAAGGACTTTGTAATCGCACCAGCTTTGAATGTGACTAAGGTTATTAGTAGTGGACATGAGGGGACGTAGGAGATGGATTTTGAAAGGATATTCCACATAACCCTAGCATGGAGGGATGGTAAATCTAGGCCTGCTTGCTTCCTGCAAAAGTAAAAAAAGTAAAATCTATAAGGATACCCAAGAAGCCCTGGTTCAAGGGTATCTGGAGTCTGTGGTTGAGGGAGCAAAGTGTAGGAAAGACTGATACTCAACTCCGCAGCAGGCAGGAGGGCAGGGGTCAAGGACTTCTGAATCTCTTGGTTCCCTGATACTTGGAGTTATAATTGGAACAAGAACTCTGGAGCTGGGGCAAGACCAGTGCCCCCAAAAAGGTGGAAAGGAAAAAGAATGAGTGTTTACTAAGCGCTAATCATGGAGCTGAGCACTGACCACGTGCTAAGAACAGTTCCTTGCCTTGAATCCTGTAATTCTAGCCTCATAAAAACCCACTGACAAACGGATTATGAACATGCCCATTTTAGAGACAACCTCTAATTCTATTAGAAATAAGGCTCCAAGAGGTGGCGTGACTTGCTGTCTTGTAGATACAAAGATGGCTAGTAATGACAGCTGGAGGTGGCTCCTGTATGACCCCCAGTCACTCTTTCCTGTCACTTCTCAGAATGAGCAACAACAGGTAGGGCTCCTGGGAGGGGCTGGTTATTCCCAAGGCATCCAGGCATTTTCCAGGAGGTCTGTGAGGACATCCAAAGTCAGTGACGAGGCTGGGGCCATGGACAGTTAGATACAAATCTCTTTTCGGTCACTCTTACCAGCAAGACACTGGAGGCACTTTTTTCTTACAAGAGCAACAAATCTTATGCTTCCAGTACAGCTAATCCTGAGATCTATGAGGAGTTAATATGGTTTGACTGCCCCCCTAGTAAAAACCCTTGCGAAGCATTCCAAATCTTACCAGGACTCGGGGAGGGGGGCTTCAGTGATATGACCTCTGTCCTCCCCTAGCTGGTGCCTAGATGCATCTTGCTCCTTACCCCATCCTACTTGGATGTCTATTACCCTGTTATTGATGAATCTTCCTCAGTCACACCCCTCTTCACCTGGCCAAATCCTACTGGTCCGTCAAGTCTCAGCTTGGATACCACTTCTGTGGGGAAGCTACCCACCGCTCCTCTCAGGTTAGAAGGCCTGTCCTCTGTGAGCCCACAGAGCCCTAAGCTTATTCATATCCCTCATCAGAAAGCATTGGGATCTCCTGTTTACTCAGATGGTCCCCCAGTCTGGTCTTTACTTTTTATCATCTTGAAGAAAAGGGCGTTGTGTTGTCCAATATGACTATCAGCACTGTGTCTTGCACATAGACAATGGAATGGATGGATGGACTGATGGACAGACTGATGGATGAATGGGTAGATGGATGGGTGGGTGAATGGATGGATGAGGTAGACAGTACTTAAATAGAGAACTCAATCATTTCTAATTCAACCAAACTGATGGAAAGTTCATCAGCATCAGCTTTTACGAAGGGAGGGAAGCAGATATTTTTGGAACGATGGTTCTCAACCATGGCTGTATTTGGGGATCACTTGGGAACCTTTTTAGAAAAATACCGATGCCTGGATCCCATCTACAGAGGTTTTTATTTAATTGGTCTGGGGCCTTAGGATTTTAAATGTTCCCATGTGGCAGCCAAGGTTGAGCTTCACTACTCAGAGAAGCTCTTAGAGGAACCTCATCTCTTGATAGTTTCCTACAACCAACTTCTCTTCTCCCTCCCAAGCTCACCAAGGATGAAAGACATGGAGCTGGAGACAGACAAATCAAACACTAAGAAAAGTCATCTCTCACGTCTAAATCAGTGGGAGGCATAGCTCTGTTTCAGTAAAAGCAAGCAAAAGAGTAAGACAGGTGTGATATGGCTATAACTGCAGCCTTAGGCACCACAGAACAAGGGAGAGAGAAATATAGCATGATGCAGACAAAGATTGGGGCAACAGAGGAGGGAGCATTCAGGGTGCGGTGATATATTTTTCCTTGGCTGTGACAGCAAGATAAAATATTTGGAAAAAAATACATATATGTGTCTATATTTAATCTTTGGTTAATTACCTCTTCAGTGAGAGAATATGCAAAGAACTTGTAGATTTCATTAGTCACAGGGGTTTATTCAAACGTCTCCTTTGCATAAGAAACCCA